TAGAGAAAAACTCCATTGTGTACATTTCAGCTTTGAAATTTTATTTAGTCAAGGTAATTCCATGGAAAATGTTTCTACCCTTGGGGCTGGAGGTATAGCTCAGTTGGTAGAATACTTGCTTAGCATCCAGGAGTCCTGAGTCTGATCCTCAGCACCACATAAATAGGGCACGGTGGTGCACCTATAATTTTAGCACTCAGAGGTAGAGGCAGGAGGACAGGAAGTTCAGAGTCATCCTCAACTACAAAGTATCTTCAAAGCCAGCCTGGGATATATGAGAGCACGTCAAAAACAAAACAAAACAAAATTTCTACCCTGTACAAACACCTTGAGAACTATAATCCATGTTTTGTGTCTTTAAAGAACCTCATTACAGGTAAGAGACTAAGATGCTATTTTTAACATAATAGTTATATAATGTAACAAAAGGTAAAATGAAATGAATATCAGATATAAAGATTGATACCAAGGAATGCCTAGTCAATTCTAGCAAGTGGCTGAGAATATTACTTATTAGAATTAACCAATTATGAATACAATTTCATAACCTAGGTTATAAACAGAATTTCAATTAAGTAGACTTGGTGACTAGCCTTATCTTTTTTTTTTTTTTTTTTTTTTTTTTTTTTTTTTTTTTTTGGTTTTCAAGATAGCTTCTCTGTGTAGCCCTGGCTGTCCTGGAACTTGGCTCTGTAGACTAGAATACCTTTACCCACAGGGCCATCTCATCAGCCCAAAAATTAGTTCCTAAATGCAATTAATATGTATTTCAATCTAATATAGTTCATATTTCCCAACTGTTTCTTTTTTTGTCTTATTTATGTACTTTCAGATTTCTTAAACATTACACATTCCTCAAGTTAAATGCTTGTAAATTGTGAGTTAAGCGTCCCAAAATATGTTTGACCATCTTCTTGGTTTGGTATGTGTGTGCGTGTAGCCGGGGGAAGCAGTCTCAAACTGTTAAATCCACTACTGAGTAAAGTAAGTAGAAATAATCTAGAAGTGAGTGGAAAGAGAAGTTGAGTCAAAGGAATCAGGAAAGTAGGTTCAGAAAGAACAAATGGGCAGGAGAATCAAGGAGGAGGAGCCAGAGGGGAAGAGCATATGAAAGAGAAATGCACAAAACCAAGTATTCCGGCTGGAATGACCGAGAAAAGACTACTGTATTTAGTACACGGTCTCCTCTGTCTCTCTCTGTCTCTGTCTGTCTGTCTGTCTCTGTCTCTCTCTCTCTCTGACAGGGTTTCTCTGAGTAGCCCTAGCTGTCCTGGAATTTGGCTCTGTAGACCTCAAACTCAGATCTGCCTGCCTCAGCCTCTTGAGTGCTGGGATTAAAGGTGTGTGCCACCACTGTCCAGCTTCCTGTGATATTTAAAAAGTGCAAAGACTAACTAACCAAATGGAAAGAGAAAGAAAATACACTGCAGATGGTTTTCAGGAACTTTGGCGCTGTAGAAAAGGAGACAGATGAAACTGCGATTTGTCTTTTCTGAGGACGGAGAGTTCCGAGTGCACGTGCATTCCAAAGGAAAGGCAATTTACAGAGTGGGAACCTGGATGCACAAGACCAGGCGATGTTAGCTGACAGGCAGTTAACATCTCCAAAGAGAAAGAGATACTGGAATAAACCTCAGGGCTCAGTCAATATGCTAAATAATTTAAAGCCTCAAATATTTTAATTCTCCGGGCGGTGGAGGTGCAAGCCTCTAATCCCAGTACTCGGGAGGCAGAGGCAGGCAGATCTCTTTAAGTTCAAGGCCAGCCTGGTCTACAGAGCGAGATCCAGGACAGGCTCCAAAGCTACAAAGAGAAACTCTGTCTCTAAAAAAAAAAAATTAATTCAATTTTGATGCTGCCACTTTCCTATTCTTCCAGCTTCATTCTTAGTCCAGCCATTCACTCATGTGTGTAATCTGTGTCCTTTTTTGTCTTTCTCATAGTAAACACTAAAAAGGCAGCAGCTGTACTTGACTGATCTTTCTGGTGGCTGAATGTCAAATGCAGAACTGGTACTCAGCAGGCACTAAGAGTAGCTACATTCGTTTTTAAAACCCGTTAGACTTTTTGAATGTAGTAGCACATTTTTATCACTAATTCTGGAATCCAACAACATCAGACACTTAAGCAAAAGCAGAGTGACAAATACCATTGTATTTATTACCTTTTTACTTTTCTTTTTTGAGCTAGGGGCTCACTATATAGCTAAGACTGGTCTGGAACTCACTACACACCCCATGTTGGCTTCAAATTCGTGATTCTCCTGCCTCAGTCTCCCAAATGCTGGGATTACAGGTACGTGCCACCATACTGGCTTGATTAACTTCACATACTAGGCCATGCTCAAAAAGTTACAATGAGATATAAGGGAAAAAAAAAAGCATCTTTAGTTTTTAGAGCTGATAGTAATGATCAGAAAAGAATCCATGTATACACACTAAACTACCACATTTGAAATCATGAAAGGTTCTGTTTCATAGTTCAGACATGTATGTGCAACAAGTTATATAATGCTGCATAAAGGTATGCTTAAACTATTTTGTCAGGTAGTACGATGTAAGAGAAAGAGCCTATTAAGTTAGAAAAAGTTAACTGAAAATGGTGTTGTCCACTATTGAAGGAAATTAAAAAAAAACTGTCTGAAAATTTGTGGTAAGGCTATAATTATCTGTCAAATCACTTTTTGGCTTAACATGGTAGATATTATTATGTATTTAAAGCAATCAACTTATTTTTTGTAACATGCTAATAATCAAGAAAGCAAACCTGTTGTTAAATCAGATAAATCCGATATACTAGAAGGTTCTTTCACAACTTCTGTTACTTTCTCCTCAGTTTCCAACTCTAGCTCAGAATCACCATCTTCACCTTGCCTGGCTATGACTGACTTCAAAGGACTAACTAGGTCATCTGCAAATACATCTTTAATGATTAGTATGTGTTGGAAGCTTTCTTAAACAGCACATGTTCTTAAAGCTACACATTTATATGCAAGTATTTCCAGTCCCTCTCCTCCAACAATGTCTAAGGAGCTAGGTTGATGTCTAATTTTCCAGCCTCACCACCACCACCACTGGAGCCACAGTCTATGCCCAGTGTCAAGGTATTAAAATGGTGAGGGGGTGAAGAAGGCATGCATTCCCCAAACTCCTGAACTACTTCAATTTAAACATAATCAGGAGGGCAGTTGCTACTTCCTTAAGAGTGTAAAACTCCCTACCCATCAGATTGTAGGTAAAGAGAGAAAGAAAGAAAAAAGGCCATGTTTTGCACTAAAAGCTGAGCTCTCAAATGATCAGGAGCCCACTGGGCTGATTTTGTCCTTCCTGTCACTGTGAGTCCTGCAACTCTTTAATGTAGTTTTAGAACTGCAAAACAATTCTCTTAGATTGTGACTGATTGGCCTAGGAAGAGTCAATATGAATTAATTTCTCATAAGTGCTAATTCAGAAGGAGTATGAAAAGATCAATTTGGACCACAAGACTTGTTGAAAGAACTTGCTGCATCTTTCTTAGGCCCACTGTACAGAGTGTTAAGAAGATCCTTAAGAGTGCTAATTATCAATCTTGTGTTTCCTATATGATCCAATAAACCACCACTCAGAACACCTATAAACACATTCAGGGAACAAAAACGTGGGCTCTTAAGTTTTCACGATCGTCCTCTGATGGAATGAAGTACAAAGCTCAACTGGAATTGAGCAGATTCTTCTCCATACAAGACATGGATTCCAAATTCTTTTGGAAGCCAGATCTACTACAGAAAATTTAGTAAGACAGATTCACCTGAGTGTGTGTGCCTAAGTCCTGACTGAAACATTAGAGTTTCTAAATCTTGTCGGGCTCTACCACCTCAGAGGCTGCCTCCGTTACCGTTAACACAGTTGAAAGGAGTTATTTAACTATCGTAGACTGGGTTGAGACGGAAACTACTAAAGACACTAACCGACACAGCCACTAATCAGTCTCACTGTTTATTTTTATCTGCATCACCCCGGCCTTCCCACAGCCTTCGTGATGTCGTCCTCGAGGTTTACGGAGGTATCCCCTTTCCATTCGGGACTCTTTTTCACTCTTACCTGCCGATCTGGTTCCTCCTTCTCCCATGTCCCTAAATCTGCCTTTCCACATTAAAAACCACCCCGGAGACGGGAGGGCCTCCTCAGCGAGGCACGGTTTCTCGCTTCTCTGCGTGCGGCAGAAAAGATGAGGCCGTCTGCACTTACTGCTTTCAGCCTCCTCGGGGACAGAGGCTAGGGACGGGGACAGGGCCGGAGCCGGGGCCGGGGCCGGGGCAAGGGCTGGGGCTGGAGCCGAGTCCGGCGTCGGAGCCGAGTCCAGAGCCGAATCCGGGGCCGGGGTCGGGACCCTGACCTGGGCCTCCTCCTCCTCCTCCTCCTCCTCCTCCTCCTCCTCCTCCTGGGGTGGCAGCTCCTCCGCCGCCATATTCTCCATAGTTACGGCCTCCGTGCCGGGGGACGCGGAGGGGACCCGCGGCGGAGCGAGAGAATTGACGTTAATGCCCACAGGGCCGGATCCAGGGCGGGGGAAGCAAAATGGGAAGGCTGCACCCGTGCCACAGGGACCCAACCCTGTCAGCTGGAAAAAAAAAAAAAAAAAAAAAAGAGCCAGAGGCAGCGGTTCGAGCCTTCACCGGCTTCCCCTTCCCCGAGGCGTTACGACGCCACCACAGACTGCGCAGAAGCGTGTCGCGGACAAGTGTCCAATGAGGAGAAAGAGTGCCGTTTCCTCGGTGCCTCTGGGCTCCCCGGGCCGCCACCGAACCCCGCGAGGACTACAAGATCCAGGAGCCATCGCGCCACCTGGGCGGGGCTCAGTTCCGGTCCTCGGAGGACGTACACAGAGCTCAGAGAACGCTAGAATTCCCTGGAGCGTTCCGCGCCTGGAGCGGGGGGTGGGGTGGGGGTGGTCAGAGTCAGAGCACAGAACTACATTTCCCAGCGTGCAGCGGGCTCGGGAAGGAACCTTTGGCATCCACGGGGACTGGGGAGTCGCCCCCGCCGCCCCCGCCGCCTCCGCCGCCCGTGCCGCCCGTGCCGCCCGTGCCGCCTGCGGCGCGGCTAAGTTAGGGTGTTGCGAACTCGTGGGCTTTTCGCTGGGCAACAGCCTTTCACGTCTTGGCCTCAGGTGCCCCGGCGCCGGTCGGGCTCGGGACTTGGCGAGCTGAGGTATGGCGGGACGCTCCTGTGGAGGGGAGGGTGTGGCGGGGAGCCAGGTTGCTCCAGCTGAGGTGAGGGGGTGGATGGCGGCTTCCGAGGGGGTGGGTGGGCCTAGGCTGGGTAGGCGTCGCGGGAGCGCTTTTCTGTCAGCCCCGCTGAGGAAGAGTCCTGGGTCGGCCGCCCCCCCCCCCCCCAACTTTACTCACACTCCAGACGGGACCCCCCCTTTCCACTTTTTTTGGTTGGTTTGTTTTGCTTCCACCTCAACGTGACCAGAGCAAGTGCGGGGTGGTTGGAGGAGGTGGTTTTTGTAGGAGGTCTGCGCTTCCGGACACTTGGGTGCATTTTAGGTTCAACAAGCTAGATGGCCAGTGAATCCTCTGCACCTCGGATTTTCTCTCTCTCTCTCTCTTTTTTTTTTTTTTATCCTGGACTAGTTTAGCACCGAAGCCTTTTTTTTTGTTTTACTTTATTCCTAATAAGCACGTTGGAGCAGACGGGAAAACAAAACAAACTAGAAAACCCCAACCGAAACAAACACACACACAAAAATTGAATTTTCTTTTTGCTTGCCCCGCTTGGGACTGTCTTGAACGTTAAAGGCAGTCGGGAAGGTTCTCGGGTCCAAAAACGCGCACTTGCTACGTCCTCGCTCCTTGCTCACTCCCTGGTCTGTTTCCTCCTCTGGGGGGAAACCGGGAGAAACGACACGTGATTATTTGGCACTGTGAAAAGCTGTCTGGAAGCCTGTCTTCTCATTGCCCTTCCTAGTTGGAAAGTGTGTTTGAAGGTGCTTTTTCTTCCCCCCGTTTAGTGTGAACAGATTGTCCCCCCCGCGAATCGCCTGCAAGTTCTAAAGCCCTTTTAAAGGCTGCGAATGTGCTTATCTCAGTGGTACAGCATTTGCCTAGCTCGTCAGCGCAAGCTTGTAGGTTGGAGGCCCGATACCACAAGACAACCAAAGCCCTTTTAGTCAGTCCATCACCTCTTTTTGACTAGTATTCTTATGTGTAGAGTTGGCTTGACTCTTTAACAGTCATTAAAGTGAGATAATAGCTCCGATTACAACTTAGAGAGACGCTAACTCTATCAGTGCACCATCCAAGACTTCCTATTATTTTTAATTTCCAGAACCCCGCCCCCACCCCACCCCTCACTCCTCCGCTCTTGGCAGCATTTGTGAGGTTGAGGATGAAACCCAGGACTTTGGGTACGAATAGCAAGCACTGTACCTTATCTCTAAAAGACATCCTCAGCACTTGATTTTCTTTTTTAATGTATAAAAGGTTAGATGCTTAATTTGGAAGCTTGACTCAATATTCTAACCTCATTTAATGCCAGCTAGAAAACACATGATAAGTTAATGTTAGCATCGAAATTCAGTGGCAGTTTTAGTTCAGAATTTCTAAGCATGAAGTAATTTTCGGTTTAAAAACTTAATAAGAGAGTATACTTAAGCACCAGTTGCATTGCCAAATAAGCTATCTCATATCTTTTTGTTTTGTTTTTTGGTTTTTTTTTCGAGACAGGGTCTCTCTATGTAGCCCTGGATGTCCTGGAACTTACTCTGTAGACCAGGCTGGCCTAGAACTCAGGTGCACCTACCTCTGTCTCCTGAGAGTCCTGGGAATTAAAGTCATGCACCACTATTATGCAGCTGTTATTTCATATCTTTTATTTATTAATTGTGTATACAGTGTTTTGCTTGCATGTTTGTCTGCAGGCCAGAAGAGGGCACCAGATCTCATTATGGATGGTTGTGAGCCACCATGTGGTTGCTGGGAATTGAACTCAGGACCTCTGGAAGAGCAGCCAGTTCCCTTAACTGCTGAGCCATCTCTCTAGCCCCATTATTTCCCACAGTTTTGTGGAACAGGAATTAAAAATTAGCTTCTTGGGTAGATTTGGCTTTGAGTCTTTAATGAGGATACAGTGAGGCTATCTGCTAGGTCCGATGTCTGACAAGGGTCAGCTTCAAAGTCACTCCTGTGTCTGAAACTTGGTTTTGGTTGCTGGGTGTGACTTTCCATGGACTACCTGAGTATCATTTGTGTCTGGCATCATCATTGGTGTCTGGCATTCCCTAGAATGAGTAATCTAAGACAGACAGAAGCCACATGTCTTCTATGAGGTAACTACGTGCCATCTATGCTGGCTGGTTTTGTTTGTTTGTTTTTGAGACAGGGTTTCTCTGTGTATCCTTGGCCTCCCTAGAACTAGCTCTGTAGACCAGGCTGGTCTCGAACTCACAGAGATCCGCCTGCCTCAGCCTCCTGAGTGCTGGGATTAAAGACGCCACCACCGCCCAGGTGGAAGAAGGAATCTTAGTTGAGAAAAATGGCTCTGTAGGCAAGTCGATAGGGCATGTTTTTTGTTTGTTTGTTTGTTTTTGTTTTTCGAGACAGGGTTTCTCTGTGTAGCTTTGCACCTTTCCTAACTCTCACTCTGTAGCCCAGGCTGGCCTCGAACTCACAAAGATCCGCCTGCCTCTGCCTCCCAAGTGCTGGGATTAAAGGCACCACCACTGCCCAGTGGGCATGTTCTTAATTAGTGATTGATGTGGGAGGGCCCAGCCTATTCTGGCTTCTGACCAGGTGGTCCTGCTGTGTATAAGAAAACTGGCTGATGCCGGGCGGTGGTGGCGCACGCCTTTAATCCCAGCACTCGGGAGGCAGAGCCAGGCGGATCTCTGTGAGTTCGAGGCCAGCCTGGGCTACCAAGTGAGTCCCAGGAAAGGCGCAAAGCTACACAGAGAAACCCTGTCTCGAAAAACCAAAAAAAAAAAAAAAAAAAAAAGAAAACTGGCTGAGCAATCCATGGGGAGCAAGCCAGTAAGCAATATTCCTCATCAGTATTCCTCCTCTGCATCAGCAGTTCCTGCCTCTATCCAGATCCCTACCCTACTTGGGTTATTGCTCTGACTTCCCTCAGTGATGGTCTGTGATGTGGAAGTGAAAGTGAAATAAATTCTTTCTTCCCCAAGTTGCTTTTGATCATGGCAATAGAAATCCTAGCTAGTGTACCATGCAGTGATATCCTGTTGATTTTAGAGGTCAGCCCTGTTTGTTGTGGAAGACACTATATAAGCATTATAGTAGTGAGCTGTAGTGTTTTTTGGGAACTGTGGCCGGGCTTCTTAGAAATTTTCCACCTTTGACCCTTTTTCGCTTGAGAAATTTTTATTGGACCCAGGGGTTTGGGGATCTAAAATATATACAAATCAAACATTTACTGGAGATAAATCTTTTTTTAAAATTTTTTTATATATAATTTTATTATTTATTAAAGGTAAAAGCAAATTTGTATACTAATGAAATGTGTTTATTTTTATATAAAAATTAAATCTTAACTGAATATTTGATACTACAATAACATCTTTAACTTTTCAGAGATGATTGATAATTTGATTTTATAATCATCAATGCTGAGAACATTGCTTCACATAAATATGTAATGCATATCAGCAAAAATATGTCTGGGATCATTTCAAAAATTGTTGGAAACTTTTTTCCTAATCTCAAACCAAAATTAATTTAACTTTTTAAAAATATGAAACTGAAGTCAGCAAACTCAAACATCAATTTGCATGCAAACTTTCTAACACAGTACAGTCCAAAGATACAGTATTTGAATGCTTATGTGCTGAAGAATTGCTGTAGGAAGATATTAAAATTCTTTGTTTTCTGTAACCAAGTCATTATAATGTGTTTCTATAAGAGCAGAAGATTTTGCATGGCCGGTAAAAACACTGCAGTTCATGACATACAATAGTCATGAATATGAACCAGGGTGTTTTCAGGCAGCAGTAGCTGGGGTTTTGTGGGTATGAGGGCATGCAAAATACAAAATGCACATACGCTGTGTTCAAGGCTGCAGTGAAGTCACATGATACAGTACTAGTGAGTGTAGCCAGAAATATGTAGGATTAATTACACATGCTCAGTTAATTTTTAGGCTTGATGTGTTCAGAAACCTTTTAATGTTGCCAGTACAAGGTTGTGACCCATAGTTTAAGAAGCTGGAATCTAGAGAACTGCTCACAGAGGAAGTCCTCCTCAGTTATTTGCATAAAAGGAATGTGAACTTTAGCTAAAATGAATATAAAGTATGTTATAGCACACATGGATGCTGTGCTTACTAGTTTTAGGTCAAGTTGACATAGGCTAGAGACATATCTGGGAAGAAGGAATCTTAATTAAGAAAATGTTTCCATAAGATTGGCCTGTAGACAAGTCTGCAGGGCATTTTTTTTTTTGGTTTTTGAGACAGGGTCTCATATAGTCTCGGTTAGTCTGGAACTCACTATAGAACACTGTAACCACCACCACCACTACCCCCCAAAACAAAAAAACCTAGAGTGATCTGGAACTCATGGCGTTCTTCCTGTCTTTGCCTCTGAAGTTCTGGGATTAAATGCATGTGCCACCACTCTTGGCTAGGGCACTTTTTAAATTAGTAGTTGATGTGGAAGGACAAAGGTCATTGTGGGTACTTTCACTTCTGGGCAGGAGGTCCTGGGGTGTATGAGGAAGCAGACTGAACTAGTAAGCAGCACTCCTCAAAGCTTCTGCATCAGCTCCTGCCTGACTCCACGGTCCTGCCCTGACTTCTTTAGTGGTGGACTGTGTGAGGTGGAAGTATAAACCCTTTCCTTTCCAGCTTGTTTTGGTCTTGGTCTTTGTTATAGCAATAGAAGTCCTAACTGAGACAGATGCTTTTCCTTGGATAGTACATCATCTAGTGCTCTTCTGTCTCATTGGAAGAGAAGTTTCTAATAATATTAGTGTATCCAAAGCAACAACATTAGACTAACATGGATCAGCAAAAATGTCAAAGGCAGCCTCATACTCTGTAAGCAGTATCTTATTTTAAGAAACAATCCAGGCTGACTTAGAACTCCTGGACTCAGTCTGGCTTCCTGCCTCAGCCTTTAAGTAGCTGATACTACAGATAGCATGGGCCACCAGGCCAGGCTGGAGTAGTTCTTTTGTTTGTTTGTTTTGGGGGTTTTGGTTGGTTTTCTTTTTCTTTCTTTCTCTTATTGTGTCTTCCATGCTACGGGAATGAAATTCTTTAGAGAAGAGAAGAGAAGAATACTACTATAAGCCAGAAGTTTTAGCATGAATTCAGCTGTTATTGTAGACTATCTTTGAAGGCAAACATTTTTCGCACTTAAGAGATTGTACTTAGAAGTTTGTTGACTGTTCAAGTGTTAATTTTGTAAGTTATTTCCCCTGTTAACTACCAGCATTAAATCTTACTTATTTTATTTGGTTTGTTTGTTTGTTTGAGACAGGGTCTCACTATGTAGCCTGCCACTGTCTCCTGAATGCAGGGAGATCATATCTTATACAACTTTACTTATTTGAATCATGAATGACCAGGAATAATTTGATTACTTGGCTTGTAGTCTTTGTTATATTCATATTGTCACTGCCAGCTATTTACTGTTTTTTGGACTTCACTTTAATGATGTCCTGTCCCAATAGATCTGGTGATGTTTCCAGTTTCTGACCACCGTATCCCAGCACAGAATGCTGCTCTGTACTACCAGTGCCCACAAGCTTGAGACTGTTTATGACCATAAGGTATGGCTATGGCTATCCTAACAATTTCTTTTCTGTTTTTTTTTTTCCCCCTTGGCAGATGGTACTGACTTGGTCTAAAGCAGGGCTTGAAAAGTAAAACTGGGTTAGGAAATGGACAGAGAATCTGTGGTTTAGAAAAGAATTGGAAATAGCTCAGAATAAAAAGTTGATAGACTAAAGAGAATGAATTCACTCATTCATTCACTTAGTCATTCATGAATATGTCTCCAGTTTTTGCTTTGTTCTTTTAAATAGTCTTACTCTGAAGAACTTATTATGTAGCCCTATCTGGCCTGGGACTTGCAGCAATCCTCATGCTATGGCTTCCAAAATGCTGAGATTATAGGTGTATTCTATCTATTAAGCCTATTTACCTTCCAAGTTTTTAATGCAACACACTTTTCAAGGAACTCTAGGTCTAGTAGAAAGCCAACCACATAGGTATTTATTTAGATCCTACTATATACATCTCTGTGCAAAGTATTTTAAAATTTTTATTATTGTGTGTGCATAAGTGTCAGTGCGTACTTGTCACAGAGCATGTGTGGAAATGAAAGGATAATTTTCAGGAGTCACTTTTCTTTTACCATGGGATTGGGAGATGAAACTCAGGTCATCAGGCTTGTGCAAGAAGTACTTTTGTCCATTAAGCCATCTTACCAACCTCAAAGTAATTTTTATATCTATTATGCTCTTTGGCTCTTTAAAAAATATTCTAGGGCTGACTGGTGGTGGTGGTGGTGGTGGTGGTGGTGGTGGTGGTGGCGGCGGCGGCGGCGGCGGCGGCGGCGGCGGCACACTGTGGTGATATATTGTGCACACCAATAAAACTTATCCGGGGATCAGAGGACAAAGCCAGCCACTAGATTAGACATAGAGGCCAGACTGTGGTGGCACACACCTTTAATCCGATCACTTGGGAGGCAGAGATCCTGTCTGGATCTCTGTGAGTTCAAGGCCACACTGGGAACAGAGTTGAGTAGTGGTGGCACATGTCTTTAATCCCAGTACTTGAGATCTCATGCCTTTGCTTGGAAAGCACACATGCCTTTGATCCTAGGACATGGCTGGGTGGAGAACGGTATATAAGGCATGAGGAGACAGGAACTAAGCAGCAGTTCAACTGAGCCCCTCGGGTGAGGACTTGAGGCTTTTAGTCTGAGGATTGGTGGAAATAGGATCGGCTGAGGAGTTGCCGAGGTGATGTTGGCTGTGGCTTGTTCTGTTTCTCTGATCTTTTAGCTTTCACCTCAATATCTGGCTCTGGGTTTTTTTTTTTGTTGTTGTTTTATTAATAAGACTTTTTAAGACTTGCATTACAGAGCACACCTTTAATCCTAGCACTTGGAAGGCAGAGGCTGATGGATCTCTGTGAGTTAGAGGCTAGCCTGGTCTACAGAGCAAGTTCCAGGACAGCCAGATCTGCACACAGAAACCCTGTCTCAAAAAACAAAACAGAAGCAAAAAGATGTTCTAGGATAAGTTACCTCTATTTTACATAAGATGAAACTGGGGCTTAGAAACATGTATGCAGTTGGTTTGAGTATCACATGAGTGACAGTGTGTTGAGAAATGAAGAATTATGGTTAATCTGTTTTCAGGTGTAAGTAGGGCAAAACAAACAGTCTTTTAGGCAGCCAATATGCTGATCTGATGCTTAAGGGAGAAGGGAGAGTTTCAGGGCTTTGTCTTGAGAACCATTTCTGAAAAGTTGATTGACAAAGCTGAAGGAGCAGATCTTTAGGCAAGAGAATGTAAGTAAAGAAAAGAATCAGTGAGAGAACTGTAACTTGAGAGTGATTAGATATTGTTGCTATGCAGAGGGCCTTTAAAGCTTCCATCAAAGGGCAAACCTAGATTAAAGGGCAACCTGTGATTCAGATAATTCTCCCCTTGAGTTCACCAAGGAATACTGAAGGGCCATCCAATAGCCAGAAGGAAATGCCTTTAGGTGTGCCTTTTGGGGAAGTATGTCTTGAGGTGTCTCAGAGCCTTAGTATCTTTAAACTCTAAATGAGCCTGGCACTCCCAGGAAATAAAGTTGTTCTCTTTCCTCAGTGAAAGAAACCCAGAGAGTCCCTGTGCATCTGTGGTCATTGATCTTTCCTTAGAACTCCAAGTTTTAGCTTTTGCTGTGCTGATTTTAGCAAGAAAATGAAAAACATTTTGTAAAACTCCAGTCCTATAGAACTAAGAGAAGAGTGGCTTGTGATATATTTTTTATTGTGATGGAAAAAAAAAATGTGTTTTGAATGTTTCTTTTAGTTTCTCAAGATGTCTATCAAAGAATCTTGTGGGAAAGAAGAAAAGTCTCAGAAAAAACAGACCACCTCTCCATCAACTTTTGTTGAAGTAAGAATTTTAGTTTTCAGGATCTATCCCTGGTGTATGAGCTAGCTTTATAGAGCCCATTACCTATGGTGGGAGGCCTTGCTCAGCTGTGATGCAGGGGAGAGGGGCTTGGTCCTGCCTCAACTGATTGTGCCAGGCTTTTAGACTCCCCATGGGAGCCCTTATCCTTTTGGAGGAGGTGATGACATAAAAATTTCTGCCCATCAGTCCCACGGGAAAGCCATTTGCTTTCCATTTTATTTAATTGACATTATTTAATTTATTGCAAATCTACGGGGTAGTTACTTTTATTATCCAAATCACAGATAAGAAATTGAGGCTTAGAGAGTAGTTTTCTCTATATGTGCTCTTTTCAAGACTGATGCTGGTTTCTGTGTTACTAACTCTATCAGTTAACTCTCAGAGCTGTCTTCCTTGACATCTTAGCAGTGTCTGCTGTAGTTGATTATACCTTTGCCTTGAAACTCTTTCCTGACTTGACTTCTGAGATACTTTGCTTTGTTAATTTTCCTTATCTCTTGGTGACTGTTTTTCATATTTCTTTTGATGGTTCCACCATAGTTTTTTCTTGAAGCAGGATTGTCAAGGTATTGTTAATATAGCACAGTCTAGACTCAGACTCATTGTCCTCTTGTCTTAGTCTTCCTAAGAGCTGGCATAGAGGCATGTGTCACTACACACAGCTCTTACCATTTTTCTTTCTTTTTATCTATCTATCTATCTATCTATCTATCTATCTATCTATCTATCTGTCTATATATTTTTTTGAGACAGGATGTTTCTACATATAGCCCTGGCTATCCTGGAACTTACTCTGCAGACCAGGCTGACCTTGAACCCAAAGATCCACCTGCCTCTGCCTCCCCAGTGCTGAGATTAAAGGGGTGTTGCACTACACCCAGCTTTCTTACTCATTTTTTTAAGCTATAACCTTTCAAGTACCCAAGCTCAGTTTTCCTCATTTAATAAACTACAGTTCCGTTCTTTCAGTTTAGACCAAACTTGGTCGTAAGCCTGTACCTGCAGCCAGTCTGTAAGCGATTTCTGTCGGTTTTCTCTTTTTTAACATATTCAAAGTCTTACTACTTTCTTTCTTGCTGTTACCACAATCTAAGCAAAGAACTTGTTTGCCTTAGTTATTCCACTGATTTCTAAATTCTTCCCTGTCTCTGCCTTTGCCTCTTGGTTTATTCTTAACACAGTGATCAATATGATCCTATTACAATGTAAGTCAGATTGTGTCACTTTGCTGCTCTGTACTTCCTTGTGGTTTTCCATGTTAATAGCCCCTCGTTGGGACTGGGAAGGCCATCCACTCTCCCCATTTCATCTTACCATTACTTTCTACTTACTGGCTTCTTTGTTCCAGCTACTTAGGAGCATTCCTGTCTCTGGGGTTTCTCCCTTGTCAATTATTCCCTTTAAATTGAAAATACACCATTTGTTCCATTTTTAAAAATGATTTTACTTTTTAAATTATGTATATAAGTGTGTGTCTGTCTGACATGTGAGTACAGGTGCCGAGGAATCTAGAAGGGGACTTTAGATCCCCTAAGCCTAAGTTGCATGCAGGTGTAAATTGCCTGATATGGGTGTCAGGAACCAAATAAGTCCACTGTAAGAACAGTATGTATTCTTAACTTCTTAGCCATCTCTCCAGCCATGTTTCTTTTTATTTTAGATAGGGTCTTAAGTATCCAGGTTGGCCTCAAATTCCTGGGGACTAGGAATGACCTTGAGTGTCTGATCATCCTGTCCCCACCTCTTGAGTACTTGGATTGCAAGTGTGCACCGCTATGCTGGTGTATATAGTGCTGAAGATTGCATACAAGGCCTTAGGCATGCTAGACAAGCAGTCTACCTACTGAGCCACACACATATCCAACCCTTGTTTCTTTAGTTAGGTCTCCATTCAGCTGTCAGTTTATCAATCAAACCTTTTATGAACGCATTTAAAAATGGCAGATCTTCCTTCTTACAGCTCTTCACCCTTCTTGTCTACCTTTTCTGTTTTATTTCATCCAAAGTATCATCTGACATTCTAAACTTATTAGTTGTTTATTTGTAAATTTCTGCACTAGATCTTAACCTTTATGGAAACAAGAACTTTTTTGTTTGTTTGTTTGTTTGCTTGTTTGTTTTAAAGGCTCAGTTCATGGTCTGATACATTTTTGGTACATAGTTGATACTTCAGACAACATTGTCTTCAGCCTTTTGAGTTCAGGAGCCACTGAGAAGTAGGACATCGGTTTTCTTTTATGGAGTGAATAGTGCTGTGGCAATGCTGTCTCACAATGTTCTTACCTGACTGTACTCCAGTTTGTAAGCACCCAGGGCTTCTAATTTCTCTTTGAGTCCTCCTAGGTGAGCTCCCTTCTTATTAAATTTTGTGTCTCTAAATGAGCTCGTTTTCGAAAGAGAATGTCAATTTACAATACTGATTAAGTCATGCTTTATTTTGTGCTTTTATGTTCATTTTTCCTCCTGAATGGCGTTCTTAGGACAAGAAGGAGGGAGAACTATCAGCAGGCTCTGCTAGTTCAGCATACTGTGTTAAACCTGTTTCAACAAAGAAGAGAAAACTGGTAAGTGTTTAGATACCATAATTCAATAAATACTGTTTATCTTGAAGTGTTTTTGTTTTTGTGTTTTTAATTTTCATGAGATTGACTCTTACTATATTGTTGAGGCTGGCCTTGCACTCTTGGAATAATCAGTCCTTCTGTTTTATTCTTCTAAGTAGTTGGAACTATAGGCATGTGATACTCAGTGCACTTTGATATAGTAAAGTTTTGATGTACAGTTAAAGGGTCTATGATACAAAATTTCTCTCTGTATTTTTCTATAATTTTTTTCTATTATGCTTAACTTGTGAAAGCCAATAAAAACCAGTGTTTTGTTTTTCCTTTTATTTGCCAAAAGTCATTTATCAGGTTTTTGCTTTTTTTGAGGCAGAGTTTTACTCTGTAGCCTTGGCTGGCCTAGAGCTTGATAACATAAACCAGACTGGCCTCAAACTCACAGAGATCTGCCTGTCTCTCCTGAGTGCTGGGATTAACCGCGTGTGTCACCACCCCCAGCAGGTTTTATTTTTTATGTTGGTAGACCCTATTACATAGAGTTAGGCAACATGGAAATAAATTCAGAGAGTTTTTCTGTCTTATATATACTGTTATATTTGTTTTTACAGTTTATTTATTTATTGAGACAAGATCTTGCTATGTAGCTCATAGATCAAGTAGATTTGGAATCTTGGAACTTGGAATCTTCCTGCCTCTCAAGTGCTAAAATCATAGGCCTGTACCACCAGGCTTGGCTTACATTCTCTTTTTGAAGTAATTGAAGTAGATACATTGCTTGCACTTTCAGATTTAGAGATTGAGATAAAAAAAATTGAGATGCACAAAATCAAATAATTTGTTCACTAATATAAAATTAAATGCAGGAGCAGAGCCAAATCTAGAGTTCTTTCTGTTCTTTCACTAATGGTGAAAACAGTAACAACCAATTAAACACATGAAGCTAGTTCATGGGCGGCTCATGAAGTACTGGCCACACTGGCCATGTTGAAGTTGAAATTAAGTGGTGGGTAAAGAAGGAGTGAAAGTTCTAGGAATGCTGAATCGTGTTTAATAATTTTTTTCTTTTTAAATACAGGGATGTATAATTTTGTGTCTTTGTGTGGGGTACACGTGTGTCAGTGTGTTTTTGTTCATGTGGTTTTGTGCACATATGCATGGAGGCAAGAAGTCAACATTGCATGAGTTCCTTGTTATTCTCATCTTACTATTGGAAGCAGAGTCTTTTACTATACCAGGAGCTTACTGATTTGGCTAGACTGTTTGGTCAGTTAGCTCCCAGGATTCACTTGTCTTCACCTCCACAGTGCTAGGTCACTGTAATATCAGCACTCAGGAAGCTCAGGCCAGGAGGATTGCTGCAAATTTGAGGTTAGCCTAGATTATACAGTTCTAGTTCAGCCTGGGGTATAGAATGAGATTCCCATTTCCAAAGAAGGGAAGGAAAGAAGGAGGGAATGAGGGAGAAGGAAAGAGTAAAGATACGTTACAAGGATTAAAATGGTATATTTTTTTTAACTTTTATTCTTTTCTCATACATTACATTCCCACCACAGTTTTTCCCTCCACTCCTCCCAATCCCTCCCCAAGATCAACTCTTCCTCTGCTTCCTTAAAAAAAAGAAAACAGGCCTCCCAGGAGTATCCACTGAACATGATCTAACAAGATGCAGTTAAGACTGAGCTCAAACCCTCATATCACAGCTGGACATGGCAACCCAGTAGAAGGAAAAAGGTCCTGAGCACAGGCAAAGGAGTCAGAGATATCTGCTTCCCCACTCCCATCGTTGGGAGTCCCACAAGAATACTAAGCTATGCAACCATGAGGTGTATGTAGAGGATCTAGCTCAGACCCATAGAGGATCCATGCTTGTCACTTCAAGCATGTGACCTATGAGTCCTGCTTATTCGATTCTGTGGGCCTTGTTCTCCTGGTGTCCTCTACCCCTCTGGTTCAATCCTTCCTCTCCCTATTCTGCAGGGTTCTCCTTGCTTCACCTAGTGTTTGGCTGTGGGTCTCTGCATCTGCTCCCATCAGTTGCTGGATGATGCCCCTCTGATGACAACTGGGCTAGGCACCGATCTATGAGTATAGCAGAATATCCTTAGGAGTCATTTCATTGACTTTTTTTTTCTTTACCGATTGTGTTTGGTTCTATCCTGGGTCACTGGGCTGTCCTGCCTCTGGTTTCTGGCCATCCAGTCAGTGTCAGGCATGGGCTCTCTATGGTGGTATGGGCAACATGGGTTGGACCAGTCATGGGTTGGCCACTCCACAAGTTCTGTACCACCATTGCCCCAGCACGTCTTGTAGGCAGGACAGTTTGTGACTACATTGATGTCCTGGTCCTACTGCTAGGAGCCTTGTCTGGTTATAGAAGATGGCCAGTTCGGGCTCTGTATCCCCATTACTAAGAGCTTTGATAGGGTCACTCTCACAGATTGCAAGGAGTGTCCACTGCACTAGGTTTCCACACCCCCCCCCCCCAAATGCCCACCAATTGCAGTTGTCTGTCTCAGTACTCTTTCTCTCTGTCTCTTTTACACACTTACCTTGGCCTGATCCCTCCTGTTTCCATCTCTACCCATCCTCAGTTCACCCACAAAATCTACTCCATTTTCCCTTCCCCTTGAGCCTTCTTGTTACTTAGGCTCTCTGAGTCTGTGGATTGTGGCATGTTTGTCCTTCACTTAACAGCTGATGTCTACTTACAAGTGAGTACATACCATGTTTGACTTTCTGGGTTTAGTTACCTCACTCAGGTTGATCTTTTCTAGTTCCATCCATTTGCCTGCAAATTTCATGATGTCATTGTATTTTTAACATCTGAGTAATACTCCATTGTGTAAATATATTACATTTTCTTTATCCATTCTTCAGTTAAGAGACATTTAGGTTGTTTTCAGTTTCTTGCTATTATTAATAAGTCTCTATGGACATAGTTATGGTAGTGTCCTCTGGGTGTATGCCCAAGAGTGGTATAACTAGGTCTTGACGTAGATCAATTCCCAGTTTTCTGAGGAACCACCATGTTGATTATCATAGTGGCTGTACTATTTTGTACTCCCACCAGCAGTGGAGGAGTGTTACCCTTGCTCCACATCCTTGCCAGCGTGAGCTGTCACTTGTGTTTTTTATCTTAGCCATTCTGACAGGTGTAAGGTAGAATCTTAAAGTAGTTTTGATTTGCATTTCCCTGATGGCTAAGGATGTTGAACATAAAATGATATTATTAGACTGTAAGATTAGAACTTGTTCTAGGTGAATAAGCAGTGAGTGAATCTTAGTACCTTGTGCAATACTGCACATTAGGTTAAAGTTTAAAAATTCTAAATACTTAGACTATATTAAATGTATTAAAGCATTTTTCTTCAGTAATACATCAGCCTTCATGTAGTCTTTTCAATTTATAAACTTTACTACTCAGCCTTTTGACTGATTTGTAATAACAGTTTAAAACACATTATTGAATGTACAAGATACTTTTTCTTTGTATCTTTATGAATGTTTTCTATGTAACTTAAATGTTTTTCTTTAAAATTTTTTGTTAAAAACTAAGACACACAGACACTGGCCAGTTCCCACACAGGGTCAGGGTCAGAATCTCTGGTAGTAACACATGGCGTTGTCATCTGTGCTTTCTTCTGGTACACCTCCAAAGACATGCCTGAGACTTTCTTGAGGCTTCACCTCTTAGAAGTGTGTCGCAGTTTACTTGGTTTGTCTTGTTTTCTCATCACAGATTGGATTACTAAACAGACAGTGTAGTGCTTGCAGCACGAACATTCTCTATAATGGAAGCCTTTTGGTGTTGGGGGCTGTGGTGTTTTAAAGCTTTTATGTAGCTTGTTGAGGTCTGCAAAAGCTTCTGCAGTGTCCTTCACTGAGCGTTTTCTTGAGAGTTGTTTATGTTCTCCTAAGGTTTCTTTTTTCTCGTGACTTTTTGCAGCTATGCATTCTTTTCCAGCTTCATCATGGAATCACTATTACATGTGTGGTCTGTCATTGATTGAAATGAAATACTGTGTGGTACATGATAGTGATTGAATGTGTTTGAGTTTGTTGTTTTTATATCAGTCTTCTAGTGTTGGGGATCAGACCCAAGGCCTTACACATGCTGAGTACACACACTATTAGCCCCCAATCTTCTTATTTGTTCTCTGCCAAATTAAATTTGGTCCAATCTTAAGTATTTAATTTATCCTCTCCTCACTGTCCTTTTCCTTCTCTTTGCTCCGTGACAGAATCCCTCTCCCACTAGCTTGGCTGATCTATATTTTTTTCTGAATTCATATTACTTACTGCTTTCAATCTTTCACCTATACTTATCTTTTCCCACGAGTATCTTCTACCTTTTAGTGGCAGATGTTTTGAATTCTTAGCACATACTGACTGTATTCTACTTTGACATTTAGTTATATCCTTCTAGTTAGGCTGTTTATATATATTCTTTATGTCTCCTTTATCTTTTTGTGTCTGGATCCTCAGAGTACATAGATGGGATCATGAAATTGAGTCAGACAGATGTATTTTTGGATCATGACAGTGCTACTAACTTACACTGTGATGATCAGAAAGATGCCAAACTCTGTAAGCTTTGGATGCTTTGTCTATAAAATAAAGGTGATAATGTCTGCCCCAAAATGATTAGAGATGAAATAAACTATTATGGTTCATGAACACAGTTGTTTCCCATTCTTCTTTGTAACTGTAACAACGGAACACAATTTATATTTTCTAAATAATTTTTTTTTAAATTTCAGAAACCAGATGATACAGACATTGTATACTATAATACAAACAGAAAACAAGATCTGAAAAGGTAAATTCTCTATTTTTCTTGACATCTTTTTACAGTATGTATAACAAACAAAACCTAAGTTTCTGTGCTGCTTTATAGATTGACTGTAGAAGTTGACACACCCAGAAAGAGACCAAAATTCAGTTCTTCAACCCAAGGACCTACTAAACTCCAAGTAACATCATACTCAAATAACAATCAAATTACTTCACAGAGTTGTTCATCAAATGGAATGAGAGATTCTAAACTTAAAGATAGTAAATTGACAAATATTAGAAGTAAGCTTGGTTATGAAATAAAAAAACATAGCAGCATTAAAATTACCAAAGATATGAAGTCTAAAGCTGAAGGCCAGACAAAGGAAAAGAATTGGCCTCATTCATGTATTCAGGAGAATATGAAAGAGCTCAAGAAAGCAAAGAACAATAAACTTAGAGACAATTCTGAAGAATTGGAAAAATGCAAGAAAAATCAACTTCCTCAGAATTATAATTTCAACAATATAACCAAGGAACCATTTGAATCTGGAAGGAAGAAGATCAGCTTCAAAATTCCCAAAAAATCCTCTAACACCATCCAGAAGCTTGTAGAAGAAAATGTCTTTAGTGTAGATTCTAGGAAGTCAAAGATCAAGCAGAAGGAAAAGGAATGCTTGAAAAGTTCCCAGATGTCATTAGATTTGACCAGGCACAAAGCTGGAAACTTGTTTTCAGATTCCGCATGCAAGCAGACTGTTTGTGAGGGGAAAAGAAGAGACCATCAAGAGCATCCAGAAATTAATGGTTCAGATTCTAAGGAAAACTGTACCCAGGTAATGTATAAAATGAAGGATTTGGTTTTAGCAAAAATATTTATTTAAAATACTCAGGTTTTAGTTGCTTCTGTTATTGATGATAATCATAGAGGACTGATACAAATTTAGTCATGCAGATAATGTATCTGTGTCTTGTTTTATTCCCTTTTGTGCCAGCGTCCTTAGGATGATATTGCTACCACCTGGTTTTGGAATCCGGGTAGTATCCAGGTTCTTGTGTTCTGGGACAAAGGACTGGACAGAGACATACAGATAGGAGTAATCAAAGGGAGAAAATTTATTCAGAAAGGATACCATTCCAGGCAGTGACAGTTTATTAGAAGATATACTTCCAAGGGGAGGAAGCGGCTGGGGCAGAGAGGAACTTTAGCAACTTCTGACCTACTGCACAGAGTTGCAGTTTTATGTTACTTTAGTGTGGACTTTTAGCTTATTTGCATTTAGCTTATATGCTTTTCTGTGCATACTTGTTACATGCAGTTCTGCATACAACTTCATGTGTTGCATGTCACATCTTAAATTAGAATCTTAAATTTCTACCCAGGAGTATATAATATTATAATAAACTTTGCACCTTTTATAAGAGTTACCATGGTCATGGTAATAGGACAAGTATTGCTATGGGACAGTGACTAAGACTGTCTCATAGGAAAGCCTAGTGTTTTGTTTTGTATCTTGTAGATGGAAGAGAGGCACTAAGAGGTAATCAGGGAAGCAAGATAGTCATGTTTTCCCACTTAGACCCCCCCCCCCCCCCCCCCCCCCCCCCCCCCCCCGCCCCACACACACACACAGTTTCTCTGTGTAGTTTTGGTGCCTGTCCCGGAAGTCACTTTGTAGACCAGGTGGGCCTTGAACTCACAGAGATCCATCAGCCTCTGCCTCCCAAGTGCTGGGATTAAAGGTGTGCACTACCACCGTCTGGCTCATTCAGTGTATTTAATAAAGCATAGTAAGGTGTGGCATTAGTTAAATGCTTACTATTGCTTCCATTTGTATTAGGCTTAGGAAGTTTCAAGACCACATGAATTTCCTGCATTAGGTGATAGATTCATTGATAGATTCATTGACCTCTCTGGAAGTGATGTGAGGTCAGAGAGCACTGAGCAGAACATGGGTATTAGAGTATCTAGTTACAAGCAGTTCTGATTATTCTAGCTAGCTTCCTTGGCACTTTTAAGAAAACCTTAAAGAAATTTAATAAGATTTAAAAGTAAGGGATATCTTGTCATAAAATATTAAAGTGTTGGCACAGAGTTGGAATTCATGGAAAGATTTTTTTCAGTTTTGTTAGAAGACAGAAAATAAAACAGACCTCTGGTGCTGTCACTACATACATTACAGCTCTGTGGTTTTTGGCCTTTTTTCCTTAGCCATGATACAGTCCTTAGATTTCTTTTGTTTTTTTTTTATCAGGCCACTTTTAGAAATGGCTCAGTGACTTCTATACTTGATCATAGCCAAAGGGCTGTGAAGAAATTCAGTGATTTCTGAATAAAATTTTTCTGCCATTGAAAGCCTGCTTATTTTTCTTTAGGATGGGTATTCTTTTTTTGTTTTTGTTTTGGTTTTTGGTTTTTTTCGAGACGGTTTCTCTGTGTAGCTTTGCGCCTTTCCTGGAACTCACTTGGTAGCCCAGGCTGGCTTCCACCTCACAGAGATCCGCCTGGCTCTGCCTCCCGAGTGCTGGGATTAAAGGCGTGCACCACCACCGCCCGGCTTAGGATGGGTATTCTTTAGGGGGGTGTATAATTCTGTTAATTGAAAGATGAGTATTTTAATGATTAAAATTCCTAAAGAATATGACTCAGATTTTATGACATGGTAGAATAGGTCTTTTCTAGGGGTGATTCTCATACGGGGGCAGTTTTATCTCTCAGGGTATTTATTAGTGTCTGGAGACACTTTTGTTTGTCAATATGGTGGGGCTGGCAAGATGGCTTGGTAGATGAAGGCACTTGCCACCAAGCCTGATGACTTGGTTTTGATTCTTGGGACCCACATGGTGGAAGGAGAGAGTTGACTTCCCCCAAGTTGTCCTTTGATTTACACACAGATAGATAGATAGATAGATAGATAGATAGATAGATAGATAGATAGATAGATATTCTTATTTTATTTTTTGTTGGGGCCAGGATGGGTACCAGTTCTGGTAGTTGGCCACTTGAATTCAGAGATGCTATACATCACACAAGGCTTAACTCAAAATCCTTTCTCCTTTCAGAATTTTGAAACACCATGTTCTTCAGTGTCATCTGAGAATGTCCAAGATACAGATGAAGAGGTTACTGATGCACTTACTTTGGTTATTTTAAAGAAATTCAACCAATTCTTTCTTCTTTTTTTTGTGTGTGTGTGAAGGTGTGGAACAGGGTCTCACTATGTAGCCTAGGCTCTGGTCTCAAACTTACGATCCTCCTGACTCGGCCTCCTGAATGTTGGAGTTACAAGTATATGCCAGGATGCCTAGCTAAGCAATTCCTACTTTTAATAAAATGTCTATAAAAACCTTGGGAGAATGAAAGCAATGATGTCTCTACTTAAACTCCAAAAAATTCTTTGTATTGATTTATTAGGTTCAGTTTATAAGTTTTTAATTAGGTCATCAAACACCATTTGGAGGGGCTAGGGATGTAGTGCAGTTGGAGTGCTTGTCTAGCAGTATAAGACTTTGGGTTTAATCCTAGCATGTGGACAGGGGTGATTGCTGAGAGAAGTCTTTACATTTACTTGACTTTTGCCTTGGTTTCTAATAAGCTAATCTATTTTAAACAGAGGGTAGTATTCATGTGCTACAAGTTAAATTTTTTTTGATTTAATGCTATGCTTTTGCGTGTGTATAGCTAGAGTTGCCAAAATGCAATATGACATCAACATATTCTTCATTTTTCTACTCAACAATAAGATGAAATTATTATTGTCAAATGAAAGTCCATAGTATTTTATCTTTTTACCTATTGCTGTATTTCCCACCTAGAATCTTCTGATTTATCTTCATACAATTATTGTGTACAATTTTTTTTGTTTTTGTTTTTGTTTTTTGGTTTTTTTTTTTTTTGAGACAAAGTTTCTCTGTGTAGCTTTTGAAACCTGTCCTGGAACTCACTTTGTAGGCCAGGCTGGCCTGGAACTCACAGAGATTCACCTGCCTTTGTCTCCCAAGCGCTGGGATTAAAGGTGTGTACCACCACTACCTGGCCTATTGTGTACAATTTTATGTTGCCTGAGTAAATTAAAATTCACTAACATTTTATATTTTTCTCTTTAAAAGGTTGTAGATAACTTATTTATAATAGTTACTTTTATTTTCCTGTCTCATGAGTCAGTGCCCCTTGATAGAAAACTGTTTATGACTGCGTTAAAGATAGAATATATTCTCATTTCTTCTTTCTTTTTAAATTTTAACATAGTTTCTCACTATATTACTCAGGCTGGCCTTGTTCTTGCTGTGTAAAGGCTAACCTTGAACTTATGATCTTCCACCTCAGCCTTCTGAGAGCTGGAATTGTAGGTGTGTGCCACCATGCCCAGCCATATTTAATTTTTTTATATCAAAATACCATCAGAGAAATACTTCTAAAGTGAGAAAGATCTTAAGATTTATAGTTCAGAGCCAACGAGATGGCTTGGGGGTTAAAGGTGCTTGTGCACATATACTCCTGTGTTATCCCAGTGCAAAATAAAGTTTAAATTGTAATACAGTTAGTAATAAAAGATTCAGAGTTTAGTTTCTGATAGTGGATAAGTAGTATTAGAAATCTCAAGGACACTGGACGAGATATTTTTGGTTTTTGGTAGAGCCAGGGATTGAATCCAGGGGCTCACACATGCTGGGCAAGCTTTCCAGCACTCAGCTATAGCCTCAGTTCACATTCTCAGAGAAAGCTGACTCTTTTAAAGTACTTTGAGATGAGAATAGATATGAGTTTGAACTTATTTCGATGTCTATATACTAGGTTTTATGAAAGGAACTTCACATGACTTATTTTAATAATATAAAAATACTAAAGAAAATAGATAAAATTTGATATTCCTTATAGATGGGCAAATTAAGTTCTAAAGTAGTAAAATAGTTTGCTTGCCTGAGGCTATAGAAAGGAACTGATTTTAAAACTGTATGGTTATAAATCCATATATCTTACTGTGCTGTCTTTATTTCTGTAAGGTATTTTCATGATGTATTGCTTTCTTCTCTGATTTAATATCTTCAGTAAATAACCCAGATATTTCACTGGGGTCTTTTACAATTTAGATGCAGATAGTAGAAGAGCTCCATGCTGCACGTGTGGGAAAAAGTGTGCATTTACCTGTGGTTCCACCTGCTGGAGAGTTAATGAGTATGGAAATTGACTTGGTGGAAGAGGATGTACCTTCTTCTGCTGGTATACGCTATATATTAATTTATATGATCTGTTCTTTTCTAAGAATTGTTGCACTAACATCAAGTTTCTACAGTGTACAGATGAAAGTGTTAAAATGTGCTTGTTTAAAATGATAATCATATATTTCTTACCCTATTAGACATTTTTCTAAGAATAACCAAGTTACACATTGTCTTTTATGCTTTGCTCTTAATTATAACTTTTAGTTCTTTCAATCATATAGAGCACTGATCAGATAGAAGGCAGTTTGTTTAAAGGTATTATTTTCATGGTTTTTTACTACTGGGAACAGATAATAAACACTGGACATTTTAGTACATGCCTGTTGTTCCAGCTCTTGGGAAGCTGAGGCAGGAGAATTAGGAGTTCAAGACTATCTTGGACTACGTACAGTTCCAGGACAGCCTGTTCTATATAGCCTTATATATTTCTTGTCTCAAAATAAATAAAAAATAAGATTACATAAATTAGTATACTATTTTGAATTCTCTGTAAAAATTATAGTACTACCTCTTACTCATATTTAAAGCACTCATATTTTACAAATTTCTAAGCATTTTTCTATATGATCTAGTAGGAAACTTACCAGATCTTCCCATAGGTCCTATGAAATAACACTGCTGCTTTTATATATTTTCTTTCTTTTACACATATTTAGCTTTTCAATTGTATTTTATTGAGAGTATAACAAAATTAATTTATACTTCTTGAGTGCATAGCTATCAGGGATGCAGGGTAAGATTTAGAACCGTAGTTACTGCTGGGACAGGTCAGTTTATGATTAAAATATACCCACAATTTATGATAGTTTGCTGGGGTAGGACTTATGATTACTGTTTTTTCTGTTAAGAATTGAAATAACTAGAGTTTTATAGTCCTTGGTTAAAGGACTTCTTCCTATAAGAGTGTTCCTAAAAGCACTTGTATAGACAGTTCTTGACCCTGTTTGTTCCTGCGTTGCTTCACCTTACCTTCTCTTGACCTAGACAAGTCCTCCTTTGACCCTCTTCTGCCCAGACTCTCTGGCATAAACAAGGTTGTGGGTCCAGCCCAGGGAACCCTCGCCTGGGAAGAATTTTACATGGCAACAAGTAATGGTTCAGATAGATAGCAGCTTGAGAATCCTCTGATTGATTCTCTTACGCCATTATGCTTACAAGACATAGAGGTTTTGTGTACTTCTGTGATACCCAAATTTGGTCATAATTTATTATCAAGTGTCATGAAATCCTAACTCTACTCTTCTTCTCTAGCAAATACTGCCACAGACAAAAAGCTTCTAATTGTTATTGACACAAATATTCTGATGAATCATCTCAAATTTGTTAAAATTTTGAAGACAACAGAAATACCAGGTATATATAAAAATTCACAGATTGTGATTTTCTTTTTTGAGTTGATATTCTATATTAACAGTTGCTTTTTTTCTCACAGTCATATCCCATCATCTGCATTTTTTTTAAAATATCCTAATCTAGGAATCTAAAATACACTTTTAGATGGCACTTATTACATTTTAAAATTATTTGTTTATTGTGAAGTTGTTTACATTGTAAACCTTGATTATAGGACTCATGTCTGCTAAATTCATTCTTTTGTAATCTGGTAGTTTTTTTAATATTTAAATTCTTAACATGCCATAGGATGTATGTGGCAGTCAAAGAATGGCTTACAGACAGCTTGTACGATTCTCTTTTTCTCCTGCTACCACGTGGGTCCTCAGACTTGGCAGCAAATATTCTTACCCACCAAGCCATCAGCATGGCCTGGAGCCTGTGTACTTTAAAACTTTGACCTCTACAGAAATTGATTTAGTAGCTCAGTACATGTTGGATTCTAAGAAATCTTTCTGTTTTCTTAGGCTTTGACACACTTGTGTTACTAATTCCCTGGGTGGTTGTACAAGAGCTAGATCGTATGAAGGCAGGAAAACTACTAAAACACGTCCAGCATAAAGCTATACCTGCAATTCATTTCATCAATGACAGCCTCAAAAGTCAAGATAGAAAGCTGTGGGGTCAGTCATTACAGCTGGCATCCCAAAAACTTTGTAAGTATTGTTCCTGAGTATGCCTTGATAAAGATTTCTTTGAGTGCTGGCTTATTATTGGAAGGAAATGCTTTAAAAATTAACAGTGTGTAGCCGTTAGAATGTGAAATCGAATGGGTGTTGTGACCATTTGTGACTCATTTTGGGAGTCTTTGGTTTTGTTTTATTGTTTTTCCTATACTTTCTTTGGCCGTGTTAGTATTTCACAGATAATGATTACATCGTTTGTATGCATACTTGGTTATACTATAGAACTTTGGATTTCACCCTCTTTTTTTATATATAATGATTTACATTTCCTTTCTATTGCTCCCTCTTCCTCCTCCTCCTTCTCTCCCCCTTCTGTCTTCTCTTGTTCCTTTCCTCTGTCTTCTCTCTTCAGTCCCTTCCCTCCTCTGTCCCCCTCCCCTCTTCTCCCTTCTGTTCTTCTCTTCCTCTCACTTTCTCTGCCCCCCCCCCCCTTTTTCTTTTTGTTTTTCAAGACATGGTCTTAGCCCAGGCAGACCATGAGCTCACTATGTAGGTGCAAATGACTTGGAGCTCCTTAGCCTCCTGCCTGTACTCTGCCAGTGTGTGCTGTCATGCCTGGTTCACTTTTTGTGTTTTCTGCCAAGGGCCCGTGTTTCTTGTACTTCTCTAAATGCAGTGTTTTGGAGGTTAAGGATAAACAAGACACAAGAAATTTAGTTATGGACTGTAAAGTCTGGATTTGGAGTTCTGAAGACATTGTTTTTGCTGTCTTCATTTTATTTAATGAGTTTTCTGCCTTTTAGATATATTTTAAAAAAATAGATGCTTACACAGTTTTAGCTTTATAGCAAAATTGAGCAGACGTTATGGAAATTTCTCATATCCTTCCTATTCCCATGCATAATAATTCTCTTGTAATCAATACCTCCCACCAGAATAAGAAATATATTACAGCCAGGCATGGTTGCTCATGCCTTTAATCCTAGCACTTGGGAGGCAGATGTAGGCAGATCTCTGTGAGTTCGAAACCAGCTTGCTCTACATAGTGAGTTCTAGGGACAGCTAAGTCTGTAGAAAGACCCTGTCTCAAAAGACCAAAAAAGAAAAAAAAGAAATGTATTATAATCAGTGAACACACCTTGACACATCATTGCCACCCAGTTACATTGTATGGGTTTGGAGAAATATAGTGACATGTATCCACCATGGTAGTATCAGAGTAGCTTCATTTCCTCAAATTCTACATATTTTTAATGTGTAAATATTGCCTACATTACTCAGGTGATACTCTGATTTCTTATCTTTGGGTGTATTTTTCTGGTGTGTGTATATACATGTTTGTGTGTGTGCGCACCTGTGCATGGGAAGGCACAGTTATTCTGAAGAAACAGGCACTTATTTATTGATTGAGCCATTGTCCAAGCCATCCCTGCCATCCCCGCCACCACTCCAGCTTTTTTCCCCCATTGCCTTGATCTTACTTAGTAGCCCAGGCTAACCTTGAATTTGTGACAATCTTCCTGCCTCAGTCTCTTGAATATTGGAATTACAGGCATGATTCAACATGCTCAAGCAGTATCTAGATTTCTAATATACTTATTGACAGTTGCCTTTGCTACATTTGCAGATGGATTGAGTGATGAGAACAATGATGATCGAGTATTAAAATGCTGTCTTCAGTACCAGGAGTTATTTCCATGTTCTCTTGTTATTCTGTGCACGTGAGTGTCATAGTCATTGTGGGGTTTTTTGTTTTGTTTTATTTTGTTTTTTAAATAATAGCTTATGGTAAAGAATTTTAAAAATTTTATTCACCAAATTAAGGATCAAACACTTAATTATTTTCTAAATCTACCACTAATCATACTCAGCTATTATTTTTTTATGATATATGATTCTAGAGGAATGAGATACTAAATGGATGAACTTTTATTTCAATTTAATTTATGTAATAGAACACTTTGAAGAGGAGGGGGAAAGTTGATATCAAAATCTTAAAGAATTTTTCAGTCATATGAGGCTGGTTATTTATTTATATACAAGGAGAGGGTAGCTTATGTTACATTATGTTATGGGTGCCTCTTCTGCAGTAAATTTGCCTGCACTAGAATCCTAGGTCTGTCAGTTGTCAGATGTATGAATCTGGACAGTTTTCCTAACTTAGATTCTTTGTGCATAATAAACAGAAGAATGAATAACTGCTTCATAAGGTTTATTAGACAGTATATGTAAAGGAATTAGAGAAGTCCCTACCACATGGTCAAATCTTTTTTTTTTTAATTGAGACAAGGTAACCATGTAGGTCATGTAACCATGTAGCCCTGGTTGGCCTAGAACTTTTTCTTTTTGGTTTTTCAAGACAGGGTTTCTCTGTATAGGCCTAGCTGTCCTGGAATTGTCTCTGTAGACCAGGCTGGCCTTAAATCCAGGGATTCGCGTGCCTCTGCTTCCTGAGTGCTGGGATTAAAGGTGTGTGCCACCACTGCCTGGCTAGCCTAGAAGTCTTAGGTAGAGCAGGTTGGTATCAAACTCACAAAGATCCACGTGCCTCTGTGCCCTAAGTAGTGGGATTAAAGGTATGTGCTGCTACATGGTATTTCTTTTAAGTGATGATAATGTGAGTTGTATAAGTCATCTATCCACTTGTACCTATTGTGAGGATGTGTATGTTTGGTTGTGTGGATAATGATGGTGATGATGTTACAGTTATTATCAGTGATAGTTGTAATTGGGAATGTTGTTGATAGTAGTAATAGGGAAAAAATGCAACACAATATACTATGCATTATTTTCTTTGAAGGTTTGGAAAGCAGCTTTGTTTAAAGAGAAGATGAAAAGGCAGACTCCTCATGAGATGAGGGGATCTGGAATCAGAATCCACTGCAATGGATTATTTTAAGTGTTTCAGTTAGATTTGCTCTCTGAAATCTGAACTAACAGCCTCAATATCCGTGATTCTTCTAAGCTCCGAACTAATATACTCACCTACTTATTTGATAGCCTTACTTGTATATTGAAGACATTTGAAATTCATCATCATTAAAAAATGAACTATTGTTTTTTCTTCTAAACTATTTTTTTTTATTTCTCCTTTGTGTTATATCCCAACCTCAGTTTCCTCTCCCTCCTCTTCTCCCAGTTCCTCCCTTCAACTGTTCCTCTCCCCCAGATCCATGCCTCCATTTTCCCTCACAAAAGGGCATGCCTCCCAGGGGTATCAACCAAACATGACATACCAAGTTGCAATAAGACTAGGCACATCCCCTCGTATTAAGGCTGAATGAGGCAACTGAGTAGGAGGAAATGGTCCTAAAAGCAGGTAAAAGCGTCAAGAGACAGCCCTACTAGGAGCCCCACAAGAATACCGTGTAGAATACTCATTTATACTGTGTGACTATATGTGGCTGTGATTGCTTTAATAAAGAAGCTGACTGGCCAGTAGCTGAACAGAATAAGGTTAGGCAGAAGAGCCAAACTGAATATGCTGGGAGGAAGAAGGGCAAAGTCGGGAGAGTCGCCAGCAGATGCAGAGAGAAGCAATATGGGTATGCCGTACTGAGAAAAAGTACCCAGCCACATGGCAAAACAGAGATTAAAAAAATACGGGTTAATTAAAATGTAAGAGTTAGCTAGTAACAAGCCTGAGCTATTGACCAAGCAATATAATTAATATTAAGCCTCTGTTTCAGTTATTTGGGAACTGGTGAGCGGGACAGAAACTTCCACCTACAACCAAGCTACACAACCATAATGTATGCAGAAGACCTAGGTCAGACCCATAAAGGCTCCCTGATTGTCGCTTCAGTCTGTGAGCCCATATGAGCCCTGATTAGTTGATTATGTGGGCCGTTTTCTTGTGCCCTTGACCCTTCTGGCTCAGCCCTTTCTCTCCCCCCCCCCCCCCCCCCCCCCCCCCCCCCGGATTCCCTGAGCTCTTCCTAACCTAAACTATTTTTTAAGTGAGTGAAAAGTGCCACATCCTGTTTCCAAAGTGCTATGCGGAGTCCTGTTGATACTCACTGTTCTTTCGTACTCTAGTATGAAAAGACCATACTTTCATACTTGGGTCTCTTTGTTTTCTCCCTGCCGTGACCCCAATTAAGACATGCTACTGTCCCTCTTCTACTCTTAACTCCATCATGCTTTCTACTTCCACACTCACTGCCTTTATTCTTCTAAAAATTAAAATGGCACTTCCTTATTTTTAAAAAGATTGACATTATGAAGAATTCCAACAATATTCAAAGTGAAGAAGAATAAACTCTTGGGGCTGGGAATATAGTTGGGTGGCAGAGCACTTAGTAGCATCTATGAGGTCCTAGACTCAATTTCCAGTTCTAGAAGGGAGGGAGGGATGAAATCCTAATGTAGCTACAACAGTTATTAAGAGTCTGCCATTTTCCTGCTTTCTGTCATCTGTACCTTTATCCACTTCCTATCTAGCCAGATTATTTTTACATGGCTCTTTGTTTTTGAGGGAAAATGTACTTAATATTGGGATGCATAAATATATTAATAGCTATCAGCATTGTCAAATCGACACAGTGGTGTAGTTCACATTTCTCTCAATATAAAAAACATTTCCATCATCCCAGAAAGTGCTGTTATGCCTTTCTTCCCCCCTTTTTTCTTGTTTCTTAAGATGAAGCTTAGGAGCTGGGGAGATGTCTCAGCAGTTAAAAGTGTGTATTGCCTTTGCAGAGGACCTGAGTTTGGTTTCCAACCCGGCATCGGGCAGCTTACAGCTACCTAGAACTTTAGTTTCAGAGAATCTGACAGCCTCTCCAGGCCTCTGTGGGCACTCGTGCTCTGATTCATGTGTGCATAAGCACACACATACAAATACTGAATGAAAATTGAAAATACGTGAACTATACTAGTGCTTAAAGAAAAGTTTATAGAAGCTTCAAATAATCTAAGCATTAATCTTTTTTGAGTTTTTATAATTTTTAATTTTGTGTATGTATGTATGGGTATGTGGGTATTAGTGCCACAGAGGCCAGGGGCATCTTGTACTCTGAATGAACAGGAAGTACTCTTAACCACTTATAGACTTATATATATATATTCCCATATAAATACTTTTTTTTTTTTTTTTCCGAGACAGGGTTTCTCTGTGTAGCTTTGCGCCTTTCCTGGAACTCACTTGGTAGCCCAGGCTGGCCTCGAACTCACAGAGATCCGCCTGGCTCTGCCTCCCGAGTGCTGGGATTAAAGGCGTATGCGCCACCACCGCCCGGCTATTCCCATATAAATACTTTTATCAAGTTCATTTCTAAGCTTTTTAACCATTTTTAATGTTTATATTGATAACCTGTGTGTTTAAATTGACATGTAGTTGATCTCATAAAATGTTTTTTTTTCCCTAACCACACCTTTAGGGATGATAGAAATTTAAGAACTAAAGGCCTGATAAGTGGTGTGAAGTCACTCAGTAAAGAAGAATTGGATTCAGAGATACTATCTTTAGCTCTGAACACAAATATGTGTCATCAGCCTTGTATTTCTAAGCAACAGTTGAAAGCAGGTAATATTTTTACTATGAATGATTAGAAATGCATCTCGTGCACTAATATTTTGTATAACATTTGAAACTAATAAATTTTCATCTAGTACATTTAAGATAATAGTTTGGAACACTTATGTATTAAATGAAAATTGTAAAAAGCGAAAGCAAACATTACTATTATTGCTGCCCATGTCCATATACTTTTACCAATTAATTTTAATTTTATCCATTTTCTCAAACTTATTTTTACCTATTATCATTGTAGACATGTTAACTTGTACCTTGCAAAGTATATCGTTTAAATTACTAATAGCTGTAGGAAATACTCTTTTGAAGTGGAACTTTTTAAGTTTTTATAAAATTAGCTTCATATTTCCTAACCCTTTATTAATACAGAAAAGCAAATATCATACAACTCTAGTAAAATAGTTTTTTCTTAAAATTTAAGCTAATAATTAAGAAATATAAGGGCAATACTGCTTTTTTATTAGAATGATCTATTCTGCGATTTGATATTTGATGGGCTGTTACATTGCATGGCTCTATTTATAAATGTATCCCAACTTTCCCTCTGTGGGAAACTTTCCTTCAGTGCTTAAGAACGCTTCCTGCTCTTTCCCAGGACCAGAGTTCAGTTGCCAGCATTTACAAACAGCTCTGGCTCCAGGGATCTGACCATTTTTCTGGCCTTTTCTCCTCTGTAGGGAATGTAATTGTTGATTTTTTTTTTTACATTAGATATACTTTTATAAGTAATTGTATAAATATTAATGTACTTATATATATTGCTTCCTTCCCTTTTTGAGAATAGTATATCTTTGTCATGATATTCAAAATGACATTTGGGAGGAATTACAGGACATTTTAGTCTATGGTTTTTCAGGAGTGAACTTTCAGTTTGCCCATTATATTACTGTCATTTTAAATCCTTAGCTGGTGTTTGTAGAGATAAGTCACTTAATATTTGAATTTTGCTATAAGAAAATTGTAGTTATTTTTCAAATATATGAGATGGTAACAACTGAACTTATAAAAGCTTATTTTGGAAGAGGATGGCATGAGTATAGATAAGTCAGAAACTTTCTTCATTTTAAAATACTTTATTGATGTGGGTTGAAATATGCACTGTTTTGGGGAAGAAAACCAATTTTGATGCAATTTCTGTGTAGTTAAAAAATAATCAGAAAATAAGGCATTCTTGTAATTCTTCTGTTTGAAAAAAATAAAATTCATTTCAGCACCGAGAAGAAGTGGACGCAAAGTCCCTCCCCTAACCAAGGAACTGCTGGTGACTGATACCTGCTGGGAAAGAGAAAATCTGTTTTCTCCAGTGGAGTCTCACTGGGCATATCAGCCACACTCCAGCGCAGGCCCAGTGCCCAGGAATAGTTGGCTAACACAAGATGGACTTTTTTTTTTGTAGGCTTTTTGCTTCATGTTTCATTTTGGTATTTTTTATCTTATTGGTTTTTTGTTTGTTTTTATTTTTTTTCATAATTAAAAACAATGCCTTAATGTTAAGAGATGGACAATAAATAAAAATATAATCTGAGGCCAGTGACATGGCTCAATGGATAAAAGCACTTGCTGCACACACACAAAAAGAGGATAGTAAAATTCAGTTTAGTTAAAATAACTTGGTTTTTCATATTTCCATTTGAGTAAAAAAAACATTTTAGGGTTATTTATTTATTTATTGTAAAAAAACCTAAGTAGGGGCATACCGCTCAGCTGGTGAAATACTTCCCTAGAATGAGCTTAGCCCTGCCTTTATGTTTGATTCCAGTATAATATAAACCTAGCATGATGATGCACACTTGTAATCCCAGCACTGGGGAATAGAGACAGGAGGGTCAGAAGGTCATGGTCATCCTCAGTTACACCATAACTTTGAGACCTGCTTGTACTGCTTGAAACCCTGTCTCAAAATAAAACAAAAGATCACCTCCTCTTTTAGTAAAGCCTGAAACTTTGTCTTAAAGAAACAGCACCTGTAGAGGAGACATCTAAGGAAGAATCTACAAATTCTGGACTGGCCATTCTGCTTGAACGCATTATATGTGATCTTGAAAAATCTCTTGGGACAGCTTTATCTTCAATATTAGAAACAGAAATGAAAATTGCTTTTGGAGATCTTTGGATGGAGGTACCTAGTTAACTGTATTAATTGAGATTTCTTTTTATTATTGATGATTTGTTATGTTAGAAGATATTTGTGTAAATTACAAAACTGTACAGTAATCCGTATTACATTTTCTCTAAGTTTTATAATAACTTAAAAATTATTAAATTAATTTTATATATTTATTTTGTGTATGTGTGTGCACAAGTATGTGTATGTGTGCAGGCGTGTGTTTGCCATGGTGCTCCTGTAGAAGTCAGGACAGTTTGGCAGGAATTGGTTCTCTCCTTCTGTCATGATTAAACTCAGGTTATCAGGTTTGGTGGCAAGTGCCTTAATATGCTGAACCATCTTTCTGGCCTTGTAATAACTTTCTGATAATTATATGATGAACATTTCTTAAAGGTTAGGACTATATAGTATTTATTTGAACAGAGCAAAAGTAGATTTATTAAGGAAAAACGAGAAAGAAGAGGTACTCCAAGGGAAGATTCTGTTTGTTTTAAATTAATGAATAGTTATTGTGCATCTACAATGAATATTTGATGCATTGACCTCTTAGAGTTTAAATTGGATCCTTAAAGTTTTTGCACAAGGACTAGAAGTATAGCTCAGTTGGTAGAATGGTTGCCTCGGATGCCTGGGGCCACAGGTTTTATTCCCAATGCCACATAAATCATGTGTAGTGGCATATGCCTATAATCCTAGCACTTGAAGGTAAATATAAGAGGATCAGGAATAAATCTTGAGACTATCTTTGGCTATGTAGTAAGCTTGGGATGCAAGAGACCCTGGCTCCAAACAAATACTTTGCTCATTCAATTTGATTTGTTCAAAATGTATGTCAGAATTTCTATTTGATTTTGTGTGTGTGTTTGTGTTTCAAGACAGTGTTTTTCTGTGTAAACTGGACTGTCTGGCTCTGTAGAGCAGGCTGGCCTCGATCTCACAGAGATCCGCCTGGCTCTGCCTCCTGAGTGTAGGGATCAAAGGTGTGTGCCACCACCACCTGGATATTTCTTAGAAATATGAATGTTTCAGAAAAAGGCATTGATAACTTCCTAAACTAAGAGACCAATTATCTCCCAGCACTCGGGAGGCAGAGCCAGGCGGATCTCTGTGAGTTCGAGGCCAGCCTGGGCTACCAAGTGAGTTCCAGGAAAGGCGCAAAGCTACACAGAGAAACCCTGTCTCGAAAAACCAAAAAAAAAAAAAAAAAAGAGAGAGAGACCAATTATCTATAAATATCTTTATTGTAGATGACAGTTGTACTTGGTTCTTTTTTTCTATATGTATTTTTCCCCCAGTAGTATGAAATATTTAGATTGTTTTGCTTATGGAAATGATCATATAGAAAAGAAGAGTGAGGGGCTGGAGTGATGGCTCAGTGGTTAAGAGCACTTGCTGTTCTTGCAGAGGACCCAGCCAGGTTCAGGTCCCAGCATTCACATGACTACCCATAACCATTTGTAACCCCAGTTCCAAGGGGATGCTCTCTTCTGGCCTCTGTGGGGACCAGATACACATGTACACAGACATATATTTCAGGATTGTACACATAAAACAAGAGTATTAATTTAAAAAAAGACAAAAGTAGATTGAGGTACCTTTCTGGTTAAAACTCTACTACTCTTCTAACTGAGGTTTGCTTTCTTTATGTACTTAAAAGTTATGAAACTAAAGGTTAATAATATGAATTTTATAAAATCAATATGTAATATACCTACCACTTAAAAATTGTGATTAGCACCTCTTAATTTAAAAATAGTTTAACTAGCTATATTTTCATTAGGGATATGTATAGAAGTTTCTACCTAGGTATGTTTAAATAATAGGTAAAATAAATCAGTAGATGATAATTTTGTAATACTTTCTAGGTGCTGTACTTGAAACCACCATGGACTCTAATAAATCTATTGCAGTGCTTTAAAAAACATTGGCTGGCTGTATTTGGATTAGTTATGGAAAATAAGTTGCTTTTAACTATTGAGAGCCTATATGAAAATCTCTCTAAAGGTATGAATCTTTTTTTTTTCCCTTTCACAATAGCTTGTATTAAGTCAATCTAGTATGGTGACTCATGCTTGTAATCCTAGCACTTGGGAGGTGGAGGCAGGAAGATCAGAAGTAAAACTGTTACATATTGAGTGCAGGACCAGCCTAAACTACATGGGACCCTTTCTGAAAGCAGACAGACAAAAAAAATCAACCAAAATGGGCTGAAGAGATCGCTCAGTAGGTGTGGTAGTTTGAAAGAAAATGGTCCCCAAAAGGAGTAAGTATCACTGTTGGAAGGTGTGGCCTTGTTGGAGGAAGTGTGTCACTGTGGAGATGGACTTTGAGGTCTCATATATGCTCTAGCCATACCCAGTGTCTCAGACCACTTCCTGTTGCCTGTGCAAGATATAGATTTCTCAGCTACCTCTCCAACTCCATGTCTGTCGGCAGGCCACCATGTTGCTCCATGATGATAATGGACTAAACTTCTGAAACTGTAAGCCACCACCTTATTAAATGTTTTCCTGTATAAGAGTTGCTGTGGTCGTGGTGTCTCTTCACAGCAATAGAAACCCTAAGTAAGACAGTAGGTAAAGTACTTGCTGCATAATGACCTCTGTTCAGATCCCCAGAGCTCAGTAAAAGCTGGGTCTGGCAATATGCTCTAATCCCAGTGCTTGGGAGATGGAGACAGGTGGATTTCAGCAGCTTGCTGGCTAGCTAGTTTAGCTAGAGCTCCAGGATTGATGATACACTCACAAAATAAGATGGAGAAACAATCAAGGAATACTTCAGGATGTCAGCTTCTAGCCTTCACTCATGCATGCATAGGTACCTCAACAACATACATATGTGTACACGTATGCATTCTCTCTCTCTCTCTCTCTCTTCCTTCCTCCCCCCTTCTCCCACCATCTCTCCCTCCTTTCGTGCTTGCAAGCAGGAAAAAGGGCTAGTTCAGTCCAGCACGCATGTTAAAAAAAACTGGATATATTAGTTTGTGCCTGGAATCCCATGCTGGGGAGGTGGAGACGGGAGGATCCCTAGGGCTTGTTGGCCAGCCAGTCTAGCTAAATTGGCAGGTTCAGCTTCAGGGTTTTGAGACCATGTCTCAAAAAATAAGGTAGAAAATGAGGAAGACACTTAGCATTGGCCCTTGGCATTGTGTTTACATACACAAAGCACACATGGATATGTATCTCCACATGTGCACACACAGGTACACATGAACACACACACACACGTTAAATCAGAATGTGTCATCTATAGAATTTGGAGATGAGTTGATAAAAATCTTTTAATCAGTTCTCAGTGATTTTTATACTTCCAGAGAAAGTTTGTGGCAACTGGATGAATGGATATAATTCTTAAAAGTCATGACTATAAATGGTGTTATTATTAATGTTTCTAGACATTGTGAATATATAATTTTCAATGATATGTGCTTTGAAAGCTTCTGGAGCTGAAGAGATAACTCAGTCAGTAGTTAAAGTGCTTGCTGCGCAATCATGAGGACCAGAATTCAAATCCCCAGAACTCCCAGAAATACTTGGTGGAATGGTGACCCACCCACTTGTAATTCTAAACTCAAAGGTAGCGATGGGATCATCAGAGCAAGTTGGCTATCAAAAAGAGCCATATTGAGAAGCTCTGGGCTTGACTTATTTCTGATATCAACCTTGGGTTTCCATACATAAGAGCACACATGTGCATATGCATCCATACATGCATGTGTGTCATGCATGAATATATGTAGACACCACAATACACAAATACACATAACACACACAAATACACATGCACATACAAATACACTTACCACATGAAAATGGGTGGGGAACCAATTTTTTTTTTTTTTAAAGTTATTATTTTGGGGCACTTTGAGACAGGGTCTCACATAATCTAAGCTGGCCTTGAGCTTGCTGGGAAGCCTTAAAATCCCAATCCTGTGCTTTTTTTTTTTTAAAGATTTATTTATTTATTATGTATACAGCATGTATGACTGCATGCCAGAAGAGGGCACCAGATCTCATTACAGATGGTTGTGAGCCACCAACCAATCCTGTGCTTTTACCTCCAAAGGTTTAGGATTACACTTGTGTACCATGTCTTATTTTAAAAACATTTTAACGTTTCATAATCTACTCAAGAACTCTATTAAAATGATTGCCTTTCATTTTTCATGGTATTGAACAAACTGTGAGCACATTCCTTGCACTACATACAGCAAGTTTGGTCTTGGTTCATAGTGAATTTACAAGTGGCAGAGAGCACAGTCATTTAAGTTGTGGTTTTTAAACTGTTTTGGACATAGACTTTGGTTTCTTGAAGTGCTTCTACTGCCATAGATTGGAGTGGGAAGATAGTCTAGTAGTTGATATCTTTGATTTGCAAATCCAGCTTTAGCCAGTGTATGGTTTTGCAACCTTTTCATATTTAGAGTCAAGGAAATTAGCCTTAGCTGGTAAGCAACTTGTCTAAAGTCAAGTAGATATATCTTTCCTCTATAAATGTAAAGGACAAAGTATGATTCATTAGGGATACAGTTGATTATTGACTCCTTTCAAACTCCACATGTGAGGCAATCTATTCTGCTTATTGTTTATATTCAGCCTATTTCTTAAAAAATAACTGATGGCTTATGTTAAATAAGAGTACAAAAGAGCCAATCAATTAGGTTTAAAGTATGGGAATGTAGCTTAGTGATAGAATGCTTGTCTAGCGTGTATAAGGGCCTGGGTTTAATCCCCAGTCTTGGTTAAAAAATGAGTTTAAAGGCACAAAAGCCAGGTAATGAAAAATATGCAACATTTACCAAAACGTACACAAATAATTATTGTAACACTTGAACACACATTTTAACAGGAAGTTCCCCAGAAGTTAAGACCAAAAAATAAGAGGCATATTCTAGGTGGATGTATGTCACATACATCACACACTCTGCCTTGTCACTGAAGTGTAAAATGTAAACTTGCAGGCAAGAGAGATGGGTCAGCAGCTAAAGGTACTTACTGCCACACCTAGAAGCCTTTGTTTGATCCCCAGTCTCCACATGGTGGAATGAGAGAACTGACTCCCCAAAATTGTCCTCTAACTTCCATATGTGTGTCATGATACACACATGCTCATACTCCCCCAAAAAAATAATGTAATTAAATAATTTTTAAAAATGAAATGTCACCTTGCAACAACCTAGAGTCACATGAGAGGAGAGCTTCAATTAAGAAATTATATAGAGCCGGGCGGTGGTGGCGCACGCCTTTAATCCCAGCACTCGGGAGGCAGAGCCAGGCGGATCGCTGTGAGTTCGAGGCCAGCCTGGGCTACCAAGTGAGTCCCAGGAAAGGCGCAAAGCTACACAGAGAAACCCTGTCTCGAAAAACCAAAAAAAAAAAAAAAAAAAAGAAATTATATAGATCAGATTGTCATGTGATCATGCCTTTGGGGAATTATCTTGATTTTCAATTGACCCAGCCCACTGTGGGTAGCATCATTCCCTAGACTGTTACTTGCACTGTGTAAAAGTAGAGAATGCCAGCTGAGTACAGTGCAGCAAGCATACAAGGAAGGGTGCATTTGCTTCTCTTTGCTCTTGACTGTGATTGTGATACTTTAAATTCTTGCCTTGACGTCCCTGCAGTAAACTGGAATTGTAAGCTCAGTAAACTGTTTCCTATCCTCTGTTGCTTTTGGTCAGTGTATTTTTTCAAAACAACAGAATTGAAATTAGGACACTCCTAATATATATACACACACACACACACACACACACACATATATATAAAAACTCCTGATATATTATCTATCCATGGTAAGTACTGAATAAATGTTGATTGTTAGAAGTTGCCAATTACTTGTTTGTTTAGGTTTTTGTTTTTTGAGACAGGGTCAAGTTGGCCTGTAACTTGTTATATAGCCCAGGCTGGCCTTGAATGCCCATTTTCTGAGTTAGAGTTATTATCACTATGATGTGGAAGTATAAGCCAAATAAACCCTTTCCTTTGTAGATGAATTTCTAAATGGTCTTATTAAATAAAAAAACAAAACAAAACAAAAACAAAACACGGAGCCAAATATAGGGGTGAAAGCTTTAGAGAGATGCTTCCAAAGAGCGCTACTTCCTGTCTACCCAGGCTTATATGCCTTGTTTTTCTGCCCTCTCATTGGCCTTAGCCCAGCTACCTCACTTCCTCTTCCTACACAGCTTTGTCACTGTCTGTCTGTACAGACCTCCAGTTCTCTGGTTGGTACTGGGATTAAAGGTGTGTGTCACCACACTTGGCTCTCTTCCCTAGTGTGGCCTTGAACACACAGAGATCCTGCCTGCTAAGAGCTTAAGGGTGTATTCTGCCTGACTTCTTTGTTTACTTAAAATGGCTGGCCTTCCCCCCCCCCCCCCATCTCTAGGCAAACTTTATTTATTAACGCACAAATAAAATACTACCACGTTCTTCTCCATCTTGCTTTTGGTCATGGTGTTTCATCATAGCAATCCAAGTGGTGAAAGAAATCTGATTGCCTCAAGATGGCCTCTGAGCTCCACAGGTACACCATGGCCTGTCTCTCCAGACACATAAACACACAGTAAACAAGTACAGAAAAGATTAGAGTTCATACATTGTGCTCTTACAGGATAGTTTCAAATATTTGTTATCTAGTACTATGTTCCTAAGCATGAGCAGTATTATTCTGCCCTTGCATGTAGCTGAAAAATGATAAGTAGTTGTTACTGGCAGTTAGGGAAAAGACTAAAGAGATGGCTGTTTCTTCTTCTTCTTCTTCTTCTTCTTCTTCTTCTTCTTCTTCTTCTTCTCCTCCTCCTCCTCCTCCTCCTCCTCCCTCCCTTCCTTCCTTCCTCCTTCCTCCTCCCCCCTCCTCCTCCTCCTCCTCCTCCTCCTCCTCCTCTTCCTTCAAGACAAGGTTTCTTTGTGTAGCTCTGGCTGTGTAGACTAGGCTGGCCTTGAACTCACGGAGATCTACCTGGCAAGCCCCAGGCCAGTGAGGGACCTTATTTAAAAGCACCTGTGAGAGGAACGCCTGAGGTTGTACTCTGCCTCCTCCTGTGTCAACATGTACGTACACACACACACACAAACCCACCCCACATACACACACACATCAGCCTCTGAAACCATGAACATTAAAAGAGAAGCAAAGCAAACATTGCAGCATGATGATTCTGCCTTCAGAAGCAACTGCTTAACATTTTGCTTTAATGATGGAAAGATCATTTGTCCTTTCTTTCATTTTTTTTTTTTTTTTGTGACATTAGAGATTTACTTTATTTCATTTTTGAAATGTGTTTTGTCTGTTTGTTTGAGAAGGTCCCTCACCACGTAGACAAGACTGTCCTTGAATTTGTAGCAGTTGCCCTGCTTCTTCTCTTGAGTACTGGAATTACAGGCATGTACCATTGTGTCTGGCTTCTTCCTAACTGCTTAAACCTTTGAAATGATTGTCACCAATAACTTGGGAATTTAGTAGAAATATTTTTAGCTTCTTGAGAGAAAGTTACTATGGTAGGTTATCTTAATTTAATTTACAGGAGAAAAATTTTAGCTTTTGTTTCTTATTGTTGTCCAAAGTCTTTATTAGCTGAACTTCTGTTGTATACAAAGAGATAACAAATTATTTTCAATAAATCTTGTTTTACTTTTCATGTGGTAGAATTTCAAGTAAGTTATTACATGATAGCTGTATAATCATAACAGGAGCCACATGTGACTTAAGTGTTTGCCTCTAACATGTAACTCTTTATAATAGTCATCTGGATGAGACAGCTTCAGCTTTGAAAACACTGTGCATGGGCTTTTTGTGTAGGATTAATTTGATTAATTCCTTTTACTGAAGAATGGAATATCTCACTTTGCTTTCCTTTGAAGTTGACTGTATTCAAGGAACTCCTGGAATCTGAAAACAATACCAGAGTCAACATGAACACTTTGTCTGTGAATAAATATGTTCAGTTGTTGCTTTCTATACCAGAGAGACATTCGTTATGACATGCCCACCCTTTAAATTGCAAAATTAATACTTAATTAGTGTTCTAAGGGATTGTCATATTGTATGCTTATTCTTTCATATTTTTTTCTTAATTTTCTCTTACCAGCTAATAATACAGTGGATTTTAAAACAGTAAAATTCCTGCTCCAGGACTCTAAAAGTTTGTTACATGCCTTCAGTACAAGGTCAAACTATGATGGTATTCTTCCACAGACCTTTGCTCAAGTAAACAAACTACTTCAAGTACTTGCAGAGGTAAGATACCTATGAAGTGCGATTTAGAGTAGTTGATCACATACATTTCAGATGTGGATTTAGTGGACAACAATAAAGGATATATTACCCTGACTTATTCTAACATTCTAAAAGTATTGAGTAAAGACTAAGTACATTGAACTCTAGGTAAGCCTTAATACAGATATGAACGTACACTTTTGATGGAAGTGGTATCACAAAATAGTTGAGTTGTTTTGTTTTTTGAGATAGAATTTGTCTATATAGTTCACCTAGCCTCAAATGCATGACTTTTTTTTGGTACTTTGTAATATTGAGATAATGGGTATACACCACTACAAACTTGGGATTTTATTTGATTGTTGTTGAATTTTATATTACTTCCTTTATGGATAATAGAAAGATGTATGCACAAAAAAGAGGGACTAGAGAGATGGTTTAATAGTTAAGAGTCCATGTTGCTCCTGGAGAAGACCAAGGTTCAGTTCTCTGCATTTACTTGGTGACTTACAACTATCCTTAACTCCAGTTTCAGCGGTTCTGACACCATCTTCTGACCTCCTCAGGCACCAGGTATGCTCATGGTACACATACATGCATGCAGACAAAACAGTCATACACATAAAATCTTTTAAAAAAATAACAAAATAAGTTTTTGGGCTTTTTTGGTTTTTTCGAGACAGGGTTTCTCTGTTGTAGTTTTGGTGCCTGTCTTGGATCTCGCTCTGTAGACCAGGCTGGCCTTGAACTCACAGAGATCTGCCTGGCTCTGCCTCCCGAGTGCTGGGATCAAAGGCGTGCACCACTACCGGCCCAGCTGTTGTTTTGGTTTTTTTGGTTTTTTTTTTTGAGACAGGGTCTCATGTACCTCAGACTAGCCTCAGATTTATTGTGTAGCCAAGAATAACCTTAAATTTTTGATCCTCTTGCCTTTATCTTCTGAGTACTGGGATTATAGACATATACTATAATGCCCTGTTTATGTAGTCTTGGGGATCTAATCCAGAGTGTCATGCATACTAGGAAAAGTACTCTATCAACTGAGATACATTCTGAACCCTAAAATATGGTTTACTGAGAATTGTTTGTATAATTCATTAGATTTGATACACCTTAGGTATTTATTTATCTCTCTAACTTGAACAATAAATATATTATTTCCAAAATAACGTTTCTTAATATAATAACTTGAAAAGTACCTAATCTTAAAATTCTTTGTACCTTTACTCCCCCCACTTTTTTGTAAAATGAGTACAATAATAATTCTTGACTTAGAATTGCCATAAGAATGAACTAAGTTACTAAAAAAAACTTAGTGCCTAGCAGATAGTAAGCGCTATATAAGTATTTATTTTTTAAAAATATACTTGCATGATTGTGTATACTCAGTTTTAAGAGTCAGAGCAAAGGAGAAATAGGTAAATGCTCAATTTTAAATGTTTAAATACTAGCCCATTATTTATATTTACTAAGTTCATAATTTAATACAAACAGGCAAAATGAGAAGATCATCTCTTTCTGTTTTCTGCCCCACAAATTAGAGAATAGTAATACCTGTGTACTTGGTGTGGGATCATAACCTCCTTTCTAGAGTGCCGAGAGTCGAGTCTCTCTTATGCTTCTTACATTTGAGTTACCTTGCATGAGTTTTTTAAATCTTTGTATTTCTCAGTTTCCTCCACCTAAGACTCTGAATAAGTTACTATTGATGGATTCGAAATTTTATTGAAAACATTTCAAAGCATAAAAATAGTAAGACATTAAGCTAACTTTTGAAATCATCCTTTTATTAGTGTGGAAACTTAACTCTAGAGAAATAAACACAATTGTTTGGTGTTGGCCAAATTCTCCTGGGCATTGAGGTCAGCCTTAAAGTATGGCTAATAAACTCAATGAAACTCCAATGGAGAAAACTAATTTTGCTTTTGCAAGCAGGCATCAATCACAAATAGCTTTTTGGTCAGGCATAAGAGCCTGTGTCCACTTGACCCTCTCAGTGTTGGGACCCCATCTGGCTTGAACCTGTGCAGGCCTTTTGTGTGTCGCCACAGTTTGTGAATTCATATGTGCTTTAGTCCTGGTGTGTCTGGAAGACATTGTTTCCTTGGAGTCATCTACCACCTCTGGCTCTTACAGTCTTCTCTCTTCCACATAGATCCCTGAGCCCTGAGGGGAGGACTTTGATTAAGACATTCCATTTAGGACTGAGTGCCCCCAAAATCTCTCAGTCTCTGCACATTGTCCAGTTGTGGGTCTTTTTGTTAGTTCCCATCTACTGCAAGAAGAAGCTTCTCTGATGAGGGTTGAGCAAGACATTGAACTGTGGGTATAGCAGTATGCCATTAGGCATCATTTTATTGCTATGTTCCTTTTGCAGAATAATAGTATTAGGTTTTCCCTAGGCCCGTAATCTACCTAGTCTCAGGTTCTTGACCACTTTAGTATCGTCAAATATAGGTTCCATCTTAGGGAGTAGCCTTAAATCCAATCAGAAAGTGGTTGTTTATTCCTATAACATTTGTGTTACTATTGCACTAGGATATCTTGTAGGCTGGTTACTCTTATAGGTCACAGGGGTTTTTGTTGCTGGGAAATATTGATGAGTACCTTTTGCCTCTGGTAGTGTACAGTGTACCTTCCAGTACCATGAACACTATCAGTTGTAGTGAAGACTCTAGTTAGGCACCACCTCAACTTCTTTATGTTACGTGGTATATGTAAGTGTTGTCTTCAGCAATAGGGCCTTAGCTTACCATCAGATTGCAGAGGGTAATCAGTAGCCTTGGCAAAATCTATGATGTTTGAGGATTTCCGTGGGGCTCCTTTGACCAACAGTTCAACAAGATGTAACCTATTCCTGGCATTGGAGGTTTTGCTTGGTGGCATAAGATGTCTAGTTGAGGTATTGTGTCCCCTATTATTTAATAACTCCATTTAGATTCCTTTTAATGTGTATTTATTTTAAGAAGCTTCTGCAGTATTAGGTTTCCATATGGTTTTTCAAATGCCCTTTAGTAGTCCCTCCCCAGATTTCCTTCTTTACCCTTCTATCTCCTCCCTATTTAATTGTCCTGGTTTGCCCTTTGTCTCTCCATAACAATGTATTCAACAGTATTCTTTTTTTAAAATAATTTATTTAACTTTATTTTATGTGCATTGGTGTGAGGATGTCAGGCCCCCTGGAACTGGAGTTACAGACAGTTGTGAGCTGTCATGTGGGTGCTGGGAATTGAACCCGGGTCCTCTGGAAGAGCAGCGAGTGCTCTCAACCTCTGAGCCATTTCTCCAGCTCTTAAACAGTAAAATGTTAGGTAAGAAAGGTCACTAGAGTAATAAATTCAACATACTAAATCTAATGTTTTTCAAGGAATATTCTGTACATAGGAAAGAACGAATAGCCAGCATGTCCAGTAAGCTCGTGTCTCTGTTTTCTCAGTTGCTAGTGAAGGACTGGTATGCATTTTATGTAATTCTTACGTCACAGGTCAAGACAAAACTGAAGCCAAATTCTTCAGAAAGCACAGTGAGTAAAAAGCAGGAAGACAGTTCTTTGATGAAGCTTCATAACCAAGATGTCACTGTTCTCTTGGATTCTCATCTTCCCCAGTTCACCAGGCATCAAGAAATCTGGTCTGTCCTGGAGAATGTTTGGACTTCAATATATCAGAACAGGTACTAAATTCCCAACACATTCTCAACTTTATCATTTGCTTCTTGTAGGGTTTCCATTATTACCATTTCTACTGTAGTTAGTGTTTGGGCTATGAGTTTATTGTGCTATGGGTCTTTTGTCAAATTGGCACATTAGAAATATTTATGTTTAAATGGGCATAAACATTAGAATTACCTGGAAATTTTTAAGTTTCTATTTCTAAACACTATTCCTAGAAATTTGGATTCAGTAGGGCAGAGGTGAATCTGAGAATGCATTAAAAAAAAATCTAGGTGATTCTGATGTAATCAAGATGAGGAGCATTGCTTGCATAAGTCACAACCAATAAATCACTTAAAGTGATTCAGCAGCTTAGCAGCTTGCAAGACTGTGATTAAACTAAAAATAACTTGAGAAAAGTTCCTTGGATTAAAGAAAATTCATACAAAAATTGTAAAAGTGGAAGAATGCTATTGTTTAAGAGAAAAAAATACCATTACTTTAGTATATAAACATAAAACACTTTAGAATTAATGAATTGAAGAGATACAGAGATCATTCTTTGGTAATTTTTATTTTTTGTTTGTGTGTATATGGGTGTGGGAGGGTCACAGTGTGGCGGTCAGAGGACAGCTTGCAGAAATGGGTTCTTTCTCTGCTCTGTGAGGAATCAAACCCTGGTCACCAGGCTTATCAGCAAGCATCTTTACCTGTTAAGCCATTTTGCTGCCACCCCCACCCCACCCCGCAGTGTTTGAGACCACTTGTGTTTTAGATAGGTGAACCTGGGCTACGTTCCTCTGGAGTAGTTTTTCAAATAGATGCTGTTAGAATAGCTTATATTACTTAAAACCACTAATTTTATTTTATTGGTTTTTTGAGACAGGGTTTCTCTGTGTAACAGCCCTGGCTGACCTGCAACTCACTCTGTAGCCCAGGCTGGCCTCGAACGCACAGAGATCCACCTGCCTCTGCCTCTTGAGTGCTGGGATTAAAGGCGTGGGCTGCCATTGCCTGCACAAGTATATTGTGTTGCATATTCCCTGTGCCTCATTCTCAACTAGCTCCCCTTTTCTCTACCTTTGTCTCCTTTGTTCTTGGAGCTCATTTTTCAGTCTTTGGCTATAATTAAACATTTTTCAACAAATTTATGGCCTGCTATTTGGCTTTCTAACCCATCATACTAAAGATAATTGCATTGGAATGTGAACTAAAGATTATATTACAAATTTATAATTTTTTTATGAATCAGTTTGTTTTTCTAGTCAACATATTTTTGGTGTTTTGACTAATCAGATATTCTGGTTTACAGAAAATTACCATATATAGGAGGCAAGAATGACTGCTTTAAAAATAAAACTAAGATATTTGAAAACATAGGAGTTAATCTGTAATATTCATGCATTTGTATTGCCTGTTAGAGAGCTCTGTGCTCCTTCTGAGTAATAGACTGTATATGCTAGCATTTCAGTGAGTGACAATGTTTATAGTGCCTTAACAATACATATTTATTTAGCCTATTTTTTAACAAGCCTAGTTGTATACCAGAATTGCAGTAGAATTTATTGAATATAATCCTTTTACATAAAAGTGCTCATTTGGAGATCTGATATGTCTATTCTTAATTACTCATATAAGTTACTAGAATACACTTATGGTTAGTTTTATTAACTTGATAGAATCTAGAAACATCTGGGGGATGGGCCTTTGGGTGTACCTGTCTCTGCTTTCTGAGTGCCAGGATTAAAGACAGGGACTACCACCTTGGCTTAGTATTTTTGCTACTTAAAAATTATACCACTGTTCCAATGGAACAATAAAGACATTGACTTTGGGAAAACCATCTAGTCTTTCTGAAACTCTGTTCATCCTGAAATAATAGTCACATGATCTTTAAGGTCTGCTGACTTAGAAATTCCATGACTTGGATTTGGGGCTATTTTAATATACTCTTTTTTTGGACAGGGTCTCTCTGTGTACTAAGTGAGAATCTGCTCTGTGTCTTTCTGTCTTCCTCAGTCCTTGCCTAGTAAATGCGTCTCTCCATTCTCTGCTTTTGCCTTAGTGGAGTGGGTATAGCCTACTCTAATCCACACCGCATGTAGCTTAACCGTTTACATTTTCCAGAGCCCTATTTCAAATGAGGTCCGTACTGAAGCTCTAGAGTAGTGCTTCCCAACCTTCCTAATGCTGTGACCCTTTAATATAGTTCCTCATGGTGTGACCCCCAACCTTAAAATTACTTTTGTTGCTACTTCATAACTGTAATTTAGCTGCTGTTATGAATCGTAATGTAAATATCTGATATTTCAGGTGGTCTTAGGTGACCACCCCTGTGAAAAGGTCATTCTACTCACAGGTTGAGAACCATGGTTCTAGATGAATGTGAATTTGGGGAGGACACCATTCAGATACAATACAATGTGTTTTGATTTTTAATATAGTTACTGTTACCTAAGTAAATATTTATTTATATATTTAGATACAGGGTCTCACTATGTAGCCCTGGCCAGTCTGGAACTCACCGTGTAGATCAGGCTGGCTTTGAACTCAGAGAGATCTGCCTGCTTCTGCTTTCCAACTGCTAGGATTAAAAGCATTCACCACATACCTAGTCTTATTTTTAGTTTTGATCCATATATGGCATAAACACTTAAAAATATTTTAGTATTTTATTAAGTAGACATTAAAGGTCTCACTAATTATCTACTGTAATTATTAATTCACAGTAAATCTTTGGAAGTGGAATTACAAGGATAAACGTCCAATTTTTTTATTTACTCCTCTCATCTCTGTGGTCTTCTCTTAGAGTGAAATGTATTCACCCAGCTTTTATGTTAATTCCTTTAAATTAGATCTATGTGGTGTGTGGCATAGATCCCTTGTGTGGATGTTAGCCCAGACTTTTCTCGTGTCACTGTCTTTGATTTCTAACTTAAATAGATGAGTATTACACAAGATTAATTATATTATTACTTTTTTATACGTCATCAGTGAAAACACCTACAAGTACTAAGTGAGCACATACTTCTTTTCTTTCTATTTTTTTAGCACAGATGTGTTTCAGACACTGGACTCAAGTTCAACTCTGACAACTTCAAAAATAGCATCATTTGAAGAAGCATTTCTATATCTTCAAAAGTTAATGGCAGCTGTGAAGGATATTCTTGAAGGAATTCAAAGGTCAGCATCATATTAAATTTAAAGTTTATAAATTCTGTATTTATTAGCTAAATTTAGACTTGGTAGGAGTCTTCTAGCAAGGTAGAAACTATTGACTGTTTTTGAGACAGGGTCTCCCTATGCAGTCTTGGGTGGTCTGGTGTGGACCAGGCTCATAGAGATCTACCTGCCTCTGCTTCTTGAGTGCTGGAATTGAAGGTGTGCATCACTACACCTAGTAGGTGATTGGCTTTTAGATTTTCCTTTCTTAGTTTCGTAAGAAACTACCACCCAGCCGTATCACTTCCTGTTTCCTCCACACTAGTGCTGGGATTAAAGGCATGTGTGCCTCCCAAGTACTGGGAGCAAAGGCATGAGATCCCAAGTGCTGAGATTCAGGGTGTGTGCCACCACTGCCTGGCCTCTGGTTAACTAGTGGCTAGCTTTGCCCTCTGATCTCCAGGCAAGCTTTATTTGTTAGAGCACAGACAAAATATCACCACAATTTTTATTGTTTTAAAACACAGCTTATGGTTTTGGTTTGAAATACCTTATAAAGAGGGCGCTCTCTCATGTGCTCCCTTCCCCCCCTCCCGTGTGTGTGTGTGTGTGTGTGTGTGTGTGTGTGTGTGTGTGTGTGTGTGGTATTTGCATGTTTGTACAGCTATGTCCACCTGTACGTATATGTGGAGGCAAGAGGAGGATGGCACGTGGATTCTGTTCTGTCACTCTGCCTTATTCCCTTAAGACAGAGACTTCTGAAGCCCCCTTAAGACAGAGACTCCAGTGAGCCCCCTGTCTCTACTTCTCAACCTTCCTAAAGCTGTGACCCTTTAATGTAGTTTCTCCTGCTGTGGTGACCCCCAACCATAAAATTATTTTCATTGCTAGTTCATAACTGAAATTTTGTTACTTTCATGAATTGTAATGTAAAATATATCTGTGTTTTCTGATGGTCTTAGGTGACCCCAGTGAAAGTCATTCACCCCCAAAAGGGGTTGAGAAATGCTGTCCTAGATGATTTTACACGCACACACACACACACACACACACACACACACACACACACACACACACACACACACATACACACACACACCTGTCTTCAACTAATTTTTCCATGGTTCCTCAGATATCACTGTGCCTCATTATCAGGCTCTCCATACACTCTTGTTTTGTTTTGTTTTTTTTTTCTGTCACCAAGTATATTATTTGGTTTGATTAATACCAGAAAAATAATATAACCTATTGTTTGTAAATGACAAGACATAGTTACTCCATCTTCTATTTACCATTTTGTGCATAGCTTTACTTTTCATAGTTTATTTTATTACAAGCTCCCTCAGACTCTGAATGAGGCAGAAAGTGCCTTTTCTAGGTCTAGGATCTTGTGCAGGTAACAACATGTTATTGGCCAGTAGGTGGTCAATAAATGTTTAAGTGTTTTGAGACATAGTGTCATGTGACCTAGACTGGCCTCAGGCTTACTATGTAGCCAAGGATGATCATGAACTTCTGATCTTCCTTCCTTTATTTCCCAATGTAGGGAATGATAGGTGTGTGTCACTAGGCCCAGTGCATGTTGTATAAACATTCTGCCAACTGAGCTGTATCTCTAGCCCACTAAATATTAGTGAATGTCTTATAATATTTCTGATTGAGGGAATCTTCTTTATTATAACAGTAGATGGTTAGTTAATATAGAGGTTTCCAAAGAGGTACAGAAGAGAGAAATATAAAGCTAAGAAAGAATAAGATTAAGAAAATCTAGAAGTTGAAAAACTATAAGAGACTAATGAGATCAAAAAGGCATCAACATCTAGAATAAGTGATAAAGCCCCTGGCAACTTGCCCAAATAGCTCCTGGTATAATATCTTACCTAGTTTCTTAGTCCTTGTCCCCACCCCACTCCAAGACAAGGTTTCTCTGTGTAGCTCTGGTTGTCCTGGAACTCACTTTGTAGACCAGGCTGACCTGGAACTCAAAGATCCATCTGCCTCTGCCTCCTGAGTGCTGGGATTAAAGATGTTCACCCATCATACCTGGCTTTTGGGGGCGGGGCGTATATCTCTTCATTAACTATCTCTGTTTTTTTTTTTTTTTGTTTTTTTTTTTTTGGTTTTTCGAGACAGGGTTTCTCTGTGTAGCTTTGCGCCTTTCCTGGTACTCGCTTTGGAGACCAGGCTGGCCTCGAACTCATAGAGATCCACCTGGCTCTGCCTCCCGAGTGCTGGGATTAAAGGCGTGCGCCACCACCGCCCGGCTAACTATCTCATTTCAGTTAGCAGGCAGAAAGATAGAATCTAGTAAAAGATTTATTTATCTTTTAAATTTTTTATTGAAAATAATTTTCCAGACCCTATATTGTAATCATGGTTTCCCCTCCCCCAGACCCTCCTTGCTCCCCACCTAGCCAACTCCACACCAGCTCCATGACTGTGCTCAAGGAGATACATAGGTGTTATCTTCAGTCCAAGGGCTTTACCATCAACTTGTGGAGAGTGATGGCTACTTGAATTATTTGGAGATTTCAATGAGTCCCCTTTGGTCAACAACTCCATTAGATGTAACGCTTACTTGGCACTGGAGATTCACTTGGTGGCTAGAGAAGTTTAGTTGGGACTTCGTCTCCCCTGCTATATGGTGATTCCATTTAGATTTATTTTATATATGTGTATATTTTAAGAATCTCCTACCATAGTAGGCCCTCAAATGGCCCTTAGTGTTACCTGTCCCTCCTTGTCTTCCCTCATTTATTCCCCTCCTGTCTCCATAACTATGTATTCTATTTCCTCTTACTTGAAAGAGTCTCCCCCTGCCCCAGTCCCTTACTCTACACCTACCATCTGTGGTTATATGGATTGTGATATTTCTGTTGAAGACTTAAAAGCTAACATTCACATGTAAGAGAATATATACCATATTTGTCTTTTTAGATAAGGGTTACCTCACTCAGGGTGATTTTTTTATAGCTCCATCTGTTTACCTATGAGTTTCATGATTTAATTTTTTTAAATAGCTAAGTAATATTCAGTTGTGTAAATGTACATTTTCTTTATCCATTTACCTATTAATGGGCATATAGGCTGATTCCAATTTCTAGATATGGATAGAGCAGCAGTGAACATGGGTGAGCACACAGTTTTTCTGTGGTAGGATGTAGGAGGTATATGCCCAAGCATTTTTTTGTTTTGTTTTGTTTTATTTTTTTTGTTTTGTTTTTGTTTTTGTTTTTTTTTTTAATGTGCATTGGTGTTTTTGCCTGCATGAGGGTATCAGGTACCCTGGAACTGGAATCACAGCTGTGAGTTGCCATGTTCTGGTAACTGAACCAGGGTCCTCTGGCAGAACAGTCAGTATTCTTAACCACTGAGCCATCTCTCCAGTCCCCCAAGCATGGGATCTTGAGTAGATCTATTCCCACCTTCCTGGGGAACTGCCACACTGATTTCTACAGTGGCTGTACCAGTTTGTACTCCCACCAGCAATGAATGAGTGTTCTCCTTACCCCACATCCTTGCCAGCATGAACTGCCATTTGTTTTATTGATCTTGGTGGCGATTCTGACTTGTATAAGATGAAATCTCAAAGTAGTTTTGATTTGCATTTCCCTGATGACTTAAGGATATTGAAGATTTCTTTAAGTGTTTACTAGATGACATTTAAATTCACAGAAGATAAGCAGACCGTTGTTTTTATAAAATATTATAGAGGGTTAGCAAGCTTGCTCAGTGGGTGCTTGTCACCAGATCTCACCACCTGAGTTAGATCCCTGAGACCCAGATTGTGGAATGGGAGACATTTTTGCATTTTAACTGATAACAGGAATATAAAAGATTATGTATTTAGGGGTGTCACATGTGATGTTACAGTATTTGTACATGTTGTGTGATACTCAGATCAGGTTTAAAAATAGCTACCTTCTTTGACTGGTAGTGGTGGTGTGTAGCCAGAAGATTTCTCCAGTCCTGCCCAGCCTGTCCCATGTTTCTTTGTTCTCACCTGGCCCTGCTGTTGTGCAGCCACTTATAAAACAATCATTCAGAGGCTTATATTAATTAATTGTATGGCCTATGGCAATCTTCTTGCTAGCTAGCTACTATAACTTAACCCATTTCTATTAATCTGTAAATTGCTGAGTGGCTATGGCATTACCAGTCTGCTGGCATCTTGCTTCTCCTTGAGCAGTGGCTGGTATCTCCCTCCTCTCCTTTCTTCTCCCCCTATATCTGCTTGGATTTCCCGCCTGCCTCTGAGAGCTGCCTTGCCATAGGCCAGTGCAGCTTTTTCTATCAACCCATCAGAGCAACACATATTCACCGCATACAGAAAGACAGCCCACAGCAGTGGCACACACCTTTAACCTCAGCACTTAGAAGGCAGAGACAGGTGGATCTCTGTGAGTTCAAGGCCAGCCTGGGATAGCCAGAACTATTACACAGAGAAACCCTGTCTGGGAAAAAAAAGAGAGAGAAAACATATCTATCTTCTTCTCAAACATTTATCATTTCTTTGATAAAGACATTCAAAATTCTTCTAGTATTTTGAAATACACAGTTGAATGCACTGCCTTTGTGAATCTAATGGTAATTACCTGAGGCTGAAGAGAGTAGGGAGGAGGGAGGGTGAAGAGGGGTTGGTTGGGCCCACACCTTTAATCCCAGCACTCGAGGCAGAGGCGGGTGGATCTCTGTGAGTTCCAGGAAGGGCACAAAGCTACACAGAGAAACCCTGTCTCGGGGAAAAAAGGGGTTGTTTGCTCTATGGGTACAAAGTTATACCTAGGATTGAGAAGCTCTTGTATAATAGCAAATAGTGTGACAGTGCATAGTGATAATGCATTGTCTTTTTATAGCAAATTACTTATGGATCCTTTCCCTCCCTGATATATTTATTTTTATATATATATAAACAATATGTGTGTGTGTGTGTGTGTGTATATATATATTAGTGTGACTGTGTGTGTGGTTTATGATTTATCTCTTTGGTTAGGAAGTTTATTTTATTTTATTTGTTTTTTGAGACAGTGTTTCTCTGTATAGTCCTGACTATGTTGGAACTCACTCTGTAGACTAGGCTGGTCTTGAACTCAGAAATCCACCTGCCTCTGCCTATCAAATTCTGGAACTAAAGTTATGTGCCACCATCACCTGGCATGAGGTTGTATTTTAAAATTACTTGCTGGAAGAAAACTGTTTCCCATGAAACTGAAATTATTCAGATTTTTGTGTGTTTTAAAGATATACTGGATTATGTCCTTTCTAAGACAGCAGAGTACATTTTAGATTTTGACTATGTCCTATGAAATATTTATAAAAGCTTTCATGAATATAATAAAAGACAAATAATCTACAAAGATACAGTTGAAAATTCGAGATCACTTAGCTTTCCTGTGATATTATAATTGGCAAAAACATGAGGGCCTAGGGACATTGTTGTGGTTAAAAGTTCTTTGGAATTTAAGAGTTAAAATGACTTGATTTTTTTATTAGTTACAGTATCAATGTAAAACCAATTGCTAAACGGTCTTATTAATAAAAAAAACAACAACAACAAACAAAAAACCCAGCGCCAGATGTTGGGGTGAAAACCGAGAGATCAGAGGAATAGGACAAGCCACAGCCAACCTCACCTTACTGACTCCTCAGCTTTCCGTATACCCACACTTATATCCTTTCTGTGCCTGCCATCTCACTTCCTCTCCCTGCCCAGCTACATCACTTCCTCTTTCTGCCTAGCTCTGTCACTTCCTGTCTGTCTGTACAAACCTCCAGTCCTTTATGGTTAATGCTGGGATTAAGGGTGTGTGCCACCACGCCTGGCTGTGTTCCCAGTGTGGCCTCGAACTCACAGAGCTACAGATGGATCTCTGCCTCCTGAATGCTAGCATTAAAGGTGTGTGCTACCATTGTCTGACTTGTATGTTTAATATAGTGGCTGGATTTTTCCTCTGATCTTCAGATAAGCTTTATCGGGGTACACAAATAAAATATCACGACAGTACCATTCATTTATTTTTGGCTTGAAACTAGGTGAAGGTGTTTGTGGTAGTAATGTTACTGTTATAGCTTTCATAGATAGTATTTTCGATATCCTAGATACTGTTAAGGCTTTTCTGAGCCAGATATGGTGATGCAGGAATGAGAAATTAAAGGATAACTTCAGCTACATAGTTCCAGCCCGTCTGAGCTACATGAAACTGTAGTTGTTGTTTTTTACTCTTTGACTCTTTTCTCTTTGGAGGGCCCACCATCCAGCTCCCAAATAATCACACACAGAGACTTTTTCTTACTTACAAATGCCTGGCCTTAACTTGACTTATTTCTAGCCAGCTTTCCTTAAATTATCCTATCTGTCTTTTGCCTCTGGGCTTTTACCTTTTTTTTTTTTTTTTTTTTTTTTTTTTTGGTTTTTCGAGACAGGGTTTCTCTGTGTAGCTTTGTGCCTTTCCTGGAACTCACTTGGTAGTCCAGGCTGGCCTCGAACTCACAGAGATCCGCCTGGCTCTGCCTCCCGAGTGCTGGGATTAAAGGCTTTTACCTTTTTTAATTTTGTATATCTTTATTTACTTCTTACTCTGTGTCTGTCTGTGTGGCTGGTCCTCGGTGTCCTCCTCCTCCCAGATTTCTCCTATGTATTCTTTCTACCTGCCAGCCATGTCTATCCTTTCTCCTGCCTCCCTATTGGCCATTCAGCTCTTTAGTAGACCAGTCAGGTGTTTAGACAGGCAAAGTAACACAGCTTCACAGAGTTAAACAAATGCAACATAAAAGAATTCAACACATTTTTGTATCATTAAACAAATATTCCATGGTGTAAACAAATGTGTCACATTTTTAACTAATATTCTACGTCATGAATCCCTGTCTCAAAAAGCTTTTCCAAACCCATGATAAATAAATAAGTGATAACAGTTTTCTATTGTATTTATTTATTCATTCATTCGTTTGTTTGTTTGTTTATTTGTTTGTTTATTTATTTTTGAGGCAAGAGTCAATAGCCCAGGGTCTCTGGGACTCACCGTGAAGCCAATACTAGTCTTAAACAGGAGGTAATTCCCCCATGTTAATTTTCTACATACTGATGTTATAAGCATTAAAATCATGTAAGAGTCTGGAGCAATGGTTCAATGATTATACGCACTTGCTGCTCTTCCAGAGGACTGGGTTCAGTTCCCTGTACCCACATGGAGGCTCAGAACTGTCTGTAACTCCGGTTCCAGGGGATACAGTGTCCTCTTTTGTCTTCCATTGACACCAGGCAGACATACATGCAGACAAAACATCCATAACCACTAAACAAACAAATAAATAAATTGATGAATGAATGCATAAATAAATCAATGGATGAGTGAGCTTAATATACAAAAAGAATACCTAAATAAATAAACTTAGTATACAGAAAGAATACCTAACTATTAGAGGGTAGAAAATAATTGTCCTCTTTATTTTTATTCAAGATTTCTATCATTTGTCCTGTATTACTTCTATCAGTTCATAGTCTGATTAACTATTGGTTTTCAGAGAGTACTGTACTGATAGCTCAGTGTTATTTGAACTTGACTGTTGTCTTTTATGTGTCTGTTAGTTTTAATTGTTGTCTGTTTCAACTGGCTTACCATTATAGAAAGGAATCTGCAGCTTAAAAGATATGGAGTGTAAATTCACATTTCTATATACCTTTTTGAGAACTATGTATTATTATAACACAATACATGAATTATAATTTCACATGTAAGAATGTTTATGGCAGGTAGGCACAGTGGCACATGCCTATAATCTCAGTACCTGGGAGATGGGAACAGGAGGATTAGGAGTTTGAGGCCAGCCTTGGCTATATTTTCAGTTTGAGGCCAATCTGGCTACATCTGTCTCAGCAGGCTAAAAAGAAGAATGTTTGTGATCAGTAATGTATAGGTATTAAACTAGCTGAAGTATTTAAATGAATTGATCTCAGTTGTATTAAGTTAATGGTTTGAATAAACTTAATAAACATATAAGTTTGAAGGAGAAAATAAAAGGTATTTTTAAAAATAAATTTCCCGCCTTTAATCCCAGCACTCGGGAGGCAGAGCCAGGCGGATCTCTGTGAGTTTGAGGCCAGCCTGGGCTACCAAGTGAGTCCCAGGAAAGGCGCAAAGCTACACAGAGAAACCCTGTCTCGAAAAACAAAAAAAAAAAACAAAAACAAAAACAAAAAAAAAAAAATAAATTTCCATGGTCCTTTTGTTAATTTATTGTTTTTGTTGTTTTAGGATTTTGGCTCCTAATAGTAATTTCCAGGATGTTGAGACTCTCTATAACTTCCTAATCAAGTATGAGGTATGAAAAATATATATTGCTCATATAACATATTGTTTGAATATTAATAAATAGAGTATGATTGCTATTGATATTTTCTTTAAATGAAGGGGGTTTTTGTACACAGGATCTTGCTGTTTTGTACAGGCTGGCCTAAATTAAAACTTCAGAGTGTCATAAAAATTTGCCCGTGTCGTTTGTTTTTCTACCTGTTTAAAAAAAATGTGTGTATTTAAGATATACAAGATAATCTTTTGGTTGGACATAGTAGCTCATGCCTGTAATCTCAGTACTCAGGAAGCTGAGGTAGGAAAATTATCATGATTTAAAGACCACCATGGGCTACGTAGTAACTTCCAGGTTAGCCTGGGCTGTAAGAGATCCTCTCTGAAAAAAACAAACAAAAGGGGGCTCAGCAGTTACATATTGCTTGTAGGTCAGGCGTTCACAACTACCCGTTACTGTCCAGTTCCAGGGGATCCAGTGCCCTCTTCTGGCCTCTGTGGGCATTTGTGCTCACAAAGACACATTAACACACCCATACACATACTCTAAATTTTTTTTTTAATCTTAAAAAACAAACTAAGTATTTATTATTTTATTACTCAAGTAAATAAACACACCTACCATCTTACATAATATTCTTTTTAGTTGGCAATAAAACTAAAATCGACCTTTTTAACAAAAAGAAATCCTAAATTTAACAATGTTTTTAACTACAGTCTTCATATTGTACAGTAGCTTGCTGCATTTGTTCATCTCTGTCTTCCTCCCCAGCCCACTCTTTTTTTTTTTTTTTTTTTTGGTTTTTCGAGACAGGGTTTCTCTGTGTAGCTTTGCGCCTCTCCTGGAACTCACTTGGTAGCCCAGGCTGGCCTCGAACTCACAGAGATCCGCCTGGCTCTGCCTCCCGAGTGCTGGGATTAAAGGCGTGCGCCACCACCGCCCGGCCCAGCCCACTCTTTACCAGTAACATACCCATTATTTTTTATCTTGCTCCCTAAGTGGAATTGCAGTCGAGTCCTGAAATATACTTATTTCAACACAGAATTGTTTCTCATTAGGGAACTTTTAGCATTTTGGGCAGGTCATTGCTTCATTGTGGGAAGACTGCAGGATATTCTATATCCCAGCTCCTCAGGTACTAAGTGCATGGAGCTATCCCAACTATAGTGGGATATAAATATTCTACCACCCTACCCTACTCACTTATCCAAATGGCCTCCAGAGAGGAAGAGCCATTTCTGCAAGGAAAAGTATGATTCAATTTTGTGTTCAGTAACAGCATAGACCCTAGACTGAGCTGAAATGAGGTTGCACTGTGTTTTCTAAATTGACTTCGTGTGTTTTCCTCATCATTGCTGATCCAAGGACAGTACTCTATTGATTGCTAATTTCTGTTTGTTAATAGCTCTCTGCTGCTATTCTTTGTATATCAAGGACAGTACTCTATTGATTGCTAATTTCTGTTTGTTAATAGCTCTCTGCTGCTATTCTTTGTATATCCCATCTCTCAATTTTATGTGGTGACTTTTGTTGTTGTGTGTTTGTTTTCTTAAATTTATTTATCTTATTTCATGTGCATTGGTGTCTGCGTATATGTCTGTGTGAGGATGTCAGATTCCCTGAAACTGAAGTAACACAGTTGTGAGCTATCGTGTGGTTGCTGGGAATTGAACCTGAGTACTCTGGAAGAGCAGCAAATGCTCTTAATTGCTGAGCCATCTCTCCAGTCCTGTTAGTTTGTTTTTGAGACAGGGTCTTATGCTATAGCTTAGGCCAACCTGAAACTTACTATATAGTTCAGACTATTCTTAAACTCATGGTAATTTTACCTCACCTTCCTGAGTACTGGGATTATCAGCTTGTACCCACTCCTAGCTTATGTGTTCATAAGTTTTTTTTTTTTTTTTTTTTTTTGGTTTTTCGAGACAGGGTTTCTCTGTGTAGCTTTGCGCCTTTCCTGGAACTCGCTTTGGAGACCAGGCTGGCCTCGAACTCACAGAGATCCGCCTGGCTCTGCCTCCCGAGTGCTGGGATTAAAGGCGTGCGCCACCACCGCCCGGCCTCATAAGTTTTTAAAATGATCTCAGTGAAGGAGCAGCAGCACATGCTGGGGCTTCACACTATAGGGAGTCAAACTCCCTTGAATGTATTCCTTTACTTTCATCCCTGGTAAGCTCTTCATGTAACTTTTTGTATGCCATATTGTCCATTAACAACCTACTGAGAAGGTAGGCAAGACACCATTTAGTTTTTGTTCTCTAGAACTTGTGCATTTACACATTTACAGCATTTACACAGTACAGCATTTGGGAGGATGGGCAGGAGGATCAAGAGTTCAAGGCAGTCCTCAGCTACATAGTGAGTGAGTCTGGCCTGTATTACCCAAGACTCTGTGTGTGTGTGTGTGTGTGTGTGTGTGTCTGTCTGTCTCTAACACACACACACACAAATATATATAAGTATATATAATGTATTCATGCATAGAGATGATATTTAACAGAGATATTTAACTCCAAATGAGTAAAGAAAAATGTCTTTTAAAAAAAAAATTTACTGATCTTATTTTATGTACATTGGTGTGACAGTGTCAGATTCCCTGGAACTGGAGTTACAGACAGTTGTGAGCTGCCATGTGGGTGCTGGCAATTTAACCCAGGTCCTCTGGAAAAGCAGCCAGTGCTCTTAACTGCTGAGCAATCTCTCCAGTTCCAGGAAAAATGTCTTAATAGTTTAAATTAATGAATATAGACTTCCTGAATATGTGCTTTAATTTTTATTAGTAAGCTAACTGACTGCTTTATAAGTTGTTTAACTTAATGTGGAGTCATGTTGCTTTTATACTGGATATTTCAGTATATGTGGATGGTTGATTTTAAAATTAAAGGTTGGTTCTAGGTATTTTTTAAAATAAGATCTTTTAGAAACTTAAGAATTATTTTGTATTCTTATTATATCAGGATCAAAATCAGTTGTTCAACTATTTTTTTTTTCCTCCCAACCACAAACCAAACAGACTATTCTCTTCCTTCTATGATCAAACATCTGCAGCCTGTTGACATTGATGGTCTGTTTGAATTGGTCCTGGCCTATGGGTTGATACTTTACATCATCACGGGCCCTTGGGGCAAGGACAAAACATGAACAACAACAAAAAAAAAAAAAAAAAAAAAAAACCTAGACTCATAATGTTTTAATTCTAGATGTATATTTAGAAGATTTTAAAATGATTTGTAAAACAAAAATTATAGCGCTGGGACTGGGTATGGTAGCTTATGCCTGTAATCTCAGCATTTAGAAGGCAAAAAGTCAGGTGGATCTCTGAGTTTAAGGAGAGCCTGGTCTATGTAGCAAGTTCCAGGACAGCCAGGGCTATATGGTGAGTATCTCAGAACAGACATACAAACCAAAACAAAAACAAATAAACAAACAAAACCCCCAAAAGCTAATGGACTGGAGAGAGAGCAATGACTTAGTAGTTAAGAGCCAGTGTTGCTTTTGTAGAGGACCCAGATTTGGACCCTATGTAGTGGCTTATAGCTGTGACTGTAATTCTAGGGAATCCAGTACCCTCTTCTGGCCTCTTGAGGGTGCCAGGGATGCACATGATGCTCATTCTTGTGTGCAAGCAAAACATTTGTGTACATTACATATAAAATAAGTAAATCTTAAATACAAAAACTACAGAGCTGGGAAATGGGTCAGTGGGTGAAGCACTTAACATACAAACATGAGGACTGAACCCATGTCAAGGCCAGGTAGGCATGGTAGCACTTTTGTAATTCCAGCATGTGAGAGTCAGAGATGGGATCCTAAGAGCAAGCTGGCTGGCTAGGTTCAAGGTGAGAAATGCTGCCTCAGTATATAAGAGGGAGAGCTGCTGGGCAGTGGTGGTGCACACCTTTAATCGGGAGGCAGAGGCAGGCGGATCTTTGTGAGTTCGAGGCCAGCCTGGTCTACAGAGTGAGATCCAGGAAAGGTGCAAAGCTACACAAAGAAACCCTGTCTTGAAAAACCAAAAAAAAAAAAAAAAGAGGGAGAGCCACTGAAGAAGACATTTAATGTTAACCTCTAGCCTTCACACATATGTGCCCACTTGTGCACACACATAAACCACACAGCTACACATGCAAAAAATAAAATAATTATAAATCACATAAAATTATGATAAACTGTACACTAATTTCACCAATCATTAAGTGTTATATTAAATATATGCATTACTAGAAATTTAATATAGACACATGTTCCTCATTTTAGGCAAAATACTAGGATTGTATTAACTTAAAAGTATATATATAAATTAAAAATACCTATCTTCCTCTCTGTTACATATTTTGGCAGTATTTAAGATCATACCTGGGACTTTATGCATGGTAGGCAAGCATTCAACCAGTAAGCTACACCTCTGGCCCTAAAATAACTGTATTTAAAAATTATATATACTTAGAGTAAATGAAGCATTTCTTCATAAGTATGGGTAGTTTCTTATGAAAACATTGAAGAAAGTTATGGAACTTTTCAAGTAAGTAATAACCTGACCACCATAGATCATTTTTATGATAAGAACCTTTAAAGTAATATTAATTGAATCAGGGTAGGAATATTTTTACCCACCAAAAAACATGGACTAGCTAGTAAAACTTGAGTTTCTTTTATAGTGCTGGATATTGTGTTCCAGGCTTCACACTACAGTGAGCTGCATCTGAAGCTCTTTACATAGTTTTGAAAGTAATTGAATAGAAGATAGTTTTATTGAGTTTCTCTCCATTAGTTCTGAATTTCTGAAAATTTAAATAATATTGTGTTGTTGGTTGATTTATCTGATTAAAAGAGAGAGAGAATTTACTACCCACTGAGATGACACTTGCTGGTGGGCAGTTTGCTGAAGGGGATGAGGCAGGAGTATTATAAATTACGAACAGCTTAGGTGCACATTTAAAAATGAAATTCTGCATGCTGGGGTGTAACTCATTGGGTATACTTGGCTAGAAGGCCCTGGGTTCAGTCTCTAGCACCAAAACAAAAGACACACATAATTTCCCTCTACAAGTTTCAAGGTTCTTCTTCCTTGTACATAACACTTAATGATTGTCTGCATCAGTAGTAGGGAGCTTCAAGAACTAAAGACTGTAGGCCAGCTTGCTGTGCAAGCCTGGTGATGTGAGTTTCATTCCTGGAGCCCCAATGGAAAGGAGAGAACTGACTCAAAGTTGTCTTTTCACCCTGACACATGCCTACACACTAATGATAAAATAAAATTTCAAAAAATAAGATTCCTTCATTTTGTAGGTTTCGGGTGTACAATGCTTTGAATGATGGACTTTCATATTTGTGGTTTTATGAATTAGGTCTTTGAATAACACTTTAAAATACACGTGTTTAGGAAATGTCCATGGGCTGGAAGGTAGCTCTGGGGTACAGCATTTGCTTAGCATGCATAAAGCTCCGAGTTTGATACCCAGAACCATAAGGAAGGGGATAGAGAGGAAGAAAAGGAATGAATGAATGAAATGAATGAATGAGTGATGATGGGGGAAGGAAAGAGGGTGAGACAGAAATACCTGTTAGTCAAACCTTTTCCTAAATCAGATCTTCCCACACATCTTACAGTATTTTTTTCTGTCCAGTTGAATGCCAAAGTAACGTGCTTTTCAAAGACTCCAGGACAGTCAGGTCCATCTTGCTTCTACTATTTCTAGCTCTGAGACTAGACTGAGTTGTAATAGCAGGAATGAAGTTTGCACATATTTGAGTGTTAACATTATAGTCACCAAACTTCTTTCTGTTGCTGTCTTAGTTGTCTTTTGGGTAGTGACTGAAGCTCTGTGATTCTGCTCTTAGAATATGCCCCATTTGAATTATGCTTGCATCACTCATTTAGTTTAACATACCTCCTTAATAACTGTATTTTGGTTCTTTTCAGGTAAACAAAAATGTCAAATTTACTGCCCAGGAACTTTATGATTGTGTTTCTCAGACTGAGTATCGGTAAGCACATCTATATGTAGATAATGAGACATCTATAACAAACTTTTACCCTGTTTGCTATCACTGTGGGAAGGCAAAGCCATCTTTTTATGGTGTATGTATGTGTGTGTGTGTTAACATGAGTGTGTAGGCTCATAGAGACCAGCTGTGGAGGTCAGCTGTCTTTCCACCTTATTTTTGACATAAGTGTCTGGCCTATGAGCTCTGGGGATCTGCCTGTCTCTGCCTCCATAGCAAGAGGATTATAGGCAGATGCTGCTGTGCCTGGCTTTTTATGTGGAAGCTGGGAATCTGCATTCAGGTCCTTATGCAAGCATGTTACTGAAGTCATCTCCCCAACCTCTCTTATGATTTTTTAACCTTTATTGATACAAAATACTTCATATATGTAAAAATCCTATGTTAATTTATCAGCTATATAGTTTCAAGTGGTTTTCAAATGTTTGACCTCAAGATTCTTTCATGCATGCATGCATGTATGTATGATCTTTTTTATTTGCTCTGTGGCAAGGTCTCGCTGTATTGCCCAGACTGGTTTTGAACTTGTGAAAGCCAACAAGTCCTCCTGTCTCAGCCTTCCTAATAGCTGGGACTGTGGACATGTACCACCATCTATTTTTATGGATTATTTGTTCATGTGGGCTGTATCTGTCTGTTCTGTGTGAATTTAAACTTTAGAGTGTTAGATGGGCGTGGTGTATACCTGTAATCTCAGCTACTTGGAAGCCTGAGACATGAAGATCACATATTTAAGCCAGACATGGCAATTTAATAAGACTATCAGAGGAAGAAAGTAGAAATATTTTTATTTTAACTTGGACTCGGATAAATGGCTTTTATAGGCTCCAAGGAAGAACCACCTTGCAGTTAGGGAGTATCCAAAAATATAATGGGCTGCTTCTCATGTTTGTGAGGGTCCCATTACCAAGAGGTAAGTGCTCAAGGGAGCTGACTCACTGGAATTCAGAGAGAGTCTGGTTATCTGTCCACCAGGTGAGTCCTGAGGAAAGGAACTCAGGAACTCCATCACCACTGACTGCACTGAGCAGCCTCCTGCACGGACAGCTCACTGCAGGAACTGACTGAGTGGTTGGTGCCAGAACCCTGACTCACAGGAAGGGAAGACCTCAGCACCACGAGGCTAAAGAGGAGAGGGAGCGCCTCCTAACTTGGAGGGGAGGGAAGGGAAGGAAATGGAGGGTACAGAAATAGACTCGCTTACTGAAAGATACGTAGAGTAAATGACCAAGGATAGGAATATGGACCTGCCCTTTTTGTTTTATTTTAGAATTTATAAGAAAACATTTTCATCTCTGCTGTTTTGAACCTTGTGCAAAGCTTTTCTGAAAACAAAAAGATTGAGTAGTTGTGAAGGATTGGCAGCAAAGTCACAATTTTAAGTATAGGAAGTAGACCTAGAGTAACTCAAAGCCAAAATTTTTTTAAATAATATTTTTATTCTTTGAGAATTTGAGCAGTATATTTTGATCATATTCACCCCTCCCACCTTCCTACTTACCCATTGTCATGTGTTTCTCTCTCCCTCTCCTTCTTCTCTCATCAAGTCCAGTATGTGTTGGCCAACTACTCTTGAGTGTGGGACCTACCATGGAATGTGGTAATATAGAGGTCACACCATTAAAGAAATACTGGCTTTGCCTTTCCTGACAACTGTCACATGCCAACAACTCCTCATAGAAGGGTGAGACTGTGCCCATACCTCCCTCCCTGCATACTTTGATTTTGTCTGCCTTGAGCTTGTGCAAGTCTTGTCTATGCTGTACCAATCTCTGTGAGTTCATATGTGCATCTGCCCTGTTCTGTAGAGAAAACAACATTTCTTTGACATCATCTACTGTCTCTGACTCTTACAATCTTCCCGTCCTCTTCCTCAAAGATCCATGAACCTTAAAAGGGGAGGGTATGTTAGAGATGTCCCATTTAGGGCTGAGTACCTCCTAAGGCTTTTACTCTCTGCATGTTGACCATTGTGGTTCTCTGGGTTGATCCCGATCGCCTGCATTATGAAGCTTCTCTGATGAGAGTTGAGACAAGCATTGTCTGGTATAGCAATAAGCCATTAGGAGTCATTTTAATGCTGTGTCCATTTAGCAGAACTACTAATAGCAGGTTTTCTACAATTAACAGTGCCAGGTGTGGGTCCATCTTCTGGAACAGGCCTTATATCCAGCCAGAATTTGGTTTGTTACCACATAACATTCATGCCACTATTGTACCAGTGGGCGTATTTTGCCAGGCAAGTAATTATTGTAGCTCAAAGGGCTCATGGCTGAGTGAGATTGATGATACTTTTCTCCTCTGGTAGCATGCCTAGCACCTTCCAGCCATGTAAAAGCCAACCAGTTGGATGAAACTTCCGGGGCAGTACCCACTTGATTTCTTGATGTTTATGACTCAGTTATATGGTGTTTCCAGCAATAGGATCTTACTGTCAAATTTTGAAGGGTAACCAAGAACAGTGCCAGTAGTCTATAATGTTTAGGGGTCTATTGGATCCCATTGGCTAACAACTTAAAAAGAAGTAACTCATCCCTGGCAGTGGGTTTTTATTTGGTAGCACATGGTATCTAGTTCAGGTGTTGTACTCTCATTATTAGGATAACTCAATTTAAATTCCTTTTACATGTATATGTATGTGTGTGTATATATTTGTGTGTGTGTGTGTGTGTGTGTGTATGTGTGTGTGTGTGTGTGTGTGTGTATAATCTTAGGAAGCTTCCAATGTAGTAGGTTTCCATATGGCTTTTTTAAAAGGTGGTTAGTATTAGTTAATCCTCTCCATATTCTCTCCTCTGACCATCCCTCCCATCCTCTACCTACAAACTGGATTTTAGTCAGTCTCTGAGAAGCCATACATCCTCAGGAAGTGGGGCTTGTTCATATACAGTGTATTTACTTTTTGCTGTCTCTCCTTCCTCTCATGGAATCCTGAATTCTGACTAGTTCTTTTTCCCTTAGTATCTATCCTACATCAATGGATCCAGTTGTGGGAGGAGAGGTAGCTATAGTCCTCTCCAACACTGTGGACATGGCTCTGAGCCATTCCAGAAGCCAAGGAAGTAATTACATTCTTTTTTCTTTTTTTTTTTTTTTAATCTTTCAAGACAAGGTTTTTCTGTGTGACAGCCCTGGCTGTCCTGGCGCTCACTTTGTAGATCAGGCTGGCCTCTACCTTCTGAGTGCTGGGATTAAAGGCATGAGCCACCACTCTTGGCTTGTAATGACATTCTTAGTGTAATGAAGATAACTACCCTTTCTTGAATACCTAACATGCCAGAGATTATATTAGATAACTGAGTGTTCTTCCTGAACTTATAGAGACCATCTCTTAGTTGGAGATATGTTAAATACAATGCTTTGATGCTCTAAAACTAGGGGTCTTGTAATTTGTAGGCCCCTGTTAGCTTTTAACAAGTCAACTGGATTCATCTCAGATTTTCCTTTTAAAGATTTATTTATGTGTTATGTATACAGTGTTCTGTCTGCATGTATGCCTGCATGCCAGAAGGGGGCATCAGATCTCATTATAGATGGTTGTGAGCTGCCATGTGGTTGCTGGGAATTGAGCTCAGCACCTTTGGAAGAGCAGTCAGTGCTCTTAACCTCTGAGCCAGCTCTTTAGCCCCCTCATATGAAAAATAAATTAGAGCTGGAAAGATGGTTCAGCAGTTAAGAATACTCATTTCTCTTTTAGAGGACCTGATTTTTGTTTCCAGAACGTAAGTTGGGTGGCTTACAACCCCCTGTTAACTCCATCAGTATCCTCCTCTGGCCTTTGGGCTCCCACACGAATAAACATATGCACATATGTAGCAGGTTTTTTCTTTAGGGCCACCAGCCAGCTCCCAAATCATGACACAGAGACTTAATAGTTATGAATGCTTGGCCTTATAGTATGCTTGTCCCACTAGAACTTAGAACTTAACCTCTTTCTCTTCATCTACGTTTTGTCTTAGGGCTTTTTATCTTTCTTTCCTTCTGTATGTCCTGTTTCACTGCCTTTTGTGTCTAGCTGGCTGGTGACTGCCTGGCTTCTGGACCAGGGCATGTCCCTCTCTTTCTCCCTTGTTCTCTCCTACTTCTCTTTCGAGCCTAGATTTCTCCTCCTACATATTCTCTCTGCCCACTTGCCCCTGCTATCCTAGCTGTTGGCCATTCAGCTCTTTATTAGACCAGTCAGGTGCCTTAGGCAGGCAAGGTGAAACAGCAACACATCTTTACATAATTAAGCAAGTATAACATATTTTTACATAGTTAAAGTAATATTCCGCAACTTAAACAAATGTAACACATTTTTGCCTAGTAAAAGAAATACTCTACAACACACATAAGTAAAAATAAATCCTTTTTAAAAGTAATTTTAAAAATTGTGATGTTTGCATGGAGTATATTAGCTATGACTTCCTCCTTTCCACATTTTTTGTTTATTTTGAGACAGGGTCTCACTATGTAGCCTTGGCTGGCCTAGAACTCACTATTAGACCAGACTGGCATCAAAGTCAAATAGACCCACTTGTCTCTGCCTCTGTGTCTCAAGTGCTGAGATTAAAGGTGTGTATCACTACTTCCAGCATATCCCACCTTTGGTTTAGAGTTATGAATATTCATTTAATTGCTAGTTGGCTTACACCAGTAATTTGGGATGAGGAAGTGCATAGGTCAGAGGACAGTTCTCTTTTAATGCCGTGTGGATTCTGGAGACCACTCAGGTCATCAGGCTTAGCAGCAAGCTTACCCACTGAGCTATCGTGCTGGCCCACCCACAGCCTTTTTAAGAGTGGCAGCATAGCACCTTGTCTTTTCTCAAGTGTCCGTTTATGGTGATATTTTATTTGTACTGAAATTTGATTTTATTTGTATGTTAATAAATAAAGTTGCCTGGGGGTCAGAGATAATAGCAAGCCATAGCAGAAGCACTTAATCCCAGCACTTGGGAGGCAGAGCTATGCAGATCTCTGTGTGTTCAAGGATACAGCCAGCATGGAGACACACACCTTTAATCTCAATTACCAACCATAGAAGACCTGGAGGTCTGTACAGACAGGCAGTGACGAGGACATGTGGTTGGGTTTACAACCAATGAGAAGGCAGAACAGAAAGTCAATAAAAAGACAGATACACAGGAAGTAGGTCTCTTTCTGAGGGGAAGGACAAAAGTGGCAGGAAGGGTAAGAAAGGCGGTTTTAAGTCTCAGCTCTCAGCTACTGCTCTGACCTCTTGGGCTTTTAATTCAATGTATTTGGTTCTGTGTTTCTTTTTTTTTGTTGTTTTTGTTTTTGTTTTTGTTTTTTCGAGACAGGGTTTCTCTGTGTAGCTTTGCGCCTTTCCTGGAACTCACTTGGTAGTCCAGGCTGGCCTCGAACTCACAGAGATCCGCCTGGCTCTGCCTCCCGAGTGCTGGGATTAAAGGCGTGCGCCACCACCGCCCGGTCGGTTCTGTGTTTCTTATTTAATAGGATGGTTACATCTACATCCGTTCTTTCAGGAAGTGAACTCCACAGTTCACCTTTATTTAACTCTCCAACTGAAGAAGATACAGTGTAGCCATCTGTCCTACAGTGTTACTTACCCCCTGTTGACATCTAAACATAAGCTAGGAGAGGTCTTTCAGAGAGTAAGGTAGAAAATTAGGCTGTTTAACACACAGTATTCTACTTAAACATTTGACTTTGCTCATTTATAGAGGTCTGTCATGGGAACTCTCATTTTTAAATTCTAGGAATTACAGCTAGAAGTCTTCTCAGTTGGGTACTTAATCTGTACTCACTGGGAGGCTGTGGCGCTCGCCTTTAATCCCAGCACTCAGGAGGCAGAGCAGGCGGATCTCTGTGAATTTGAGGCCAGCCTGGTCTACAGAGTGAGCTCCAGGACAGACTTACCAAAGCTATACAGAGAAACCATGTCTCAGGGGGCGGGAGAATCTATGCTCTTTGCTAAGGAGAGCATTTTCTCTCAAATTGTCACATCATATTAAGAATATTGGCTGGTGGAACACTTGTCTCACATGCATAAAGTCTAGGTTTAATCATTAGTACTGTCAAATAAAAAGAATTCTTAATGTATCCTAGGGAAATGGACACAATACATTTAAAAAGATTTCTGTACTTTCATATTTAGTTACAGTAGCCAAGATATGAATCAATCTAAATGCCTACCAGCTAATGAATAGGTAAGGGAAATGCTCTGTGGAATACTGTGTAGCTTTTGAAAAGAAGGAAGTCCTGTTGTTGCAGCCACATGGATGGACCTGGGCACGCATATGTTGAGTGTCTTATGATAACAGAAAAACAGATACTGTATGGGCTTGCTTTTTTGCAGAGCCAAAATAGTGGGATCCAGAAACAGGCAGGAAAGTGGTGGTCACCAGGGCCTGGAGGTAGTGGTTGAAGGGTTGGGTGAATGTTAATTAAAGGACACAAAATTTTAGTTATGAGTAGTAGTTCAAGAGATGTTTGGGATGTAATATGTGTATTAAATACTTGAAGCCAATTCCATGATGTATACATATTTCAAAACATACCATATACAGTAAATACCTACAATTGTTATTTTTGTTGTGTCTTTGTTTTGAGATAGGAACTCACTCTGTAGTCCATGCTGGCCTGGAACTCATTAAGTATGGCAGACTGGCCTTGAATTTGAGGATTTTTCTGCTTTAGCCTCTCATGAGCCACCACACCCAATTTAAGAATTGTGTGTGTGTGTGTGTGTGTGTGTGTGTGTGTATTTGTACCATAGCACACATGTGAAGGTAGTGGACAGTTTGGAGAATCACTTCTTTCCTTCTATGTGGTTCCAGGGGTCAAATGTGGGAGTGGGCTGGAGAGATGGTGCAGAGTTAAGAGGTCATATTGCTTTGGAAAGGCCTAGAGTTCAGTTGCCAGCACTCAACTTGGTCAGCCAACAACCACCTGTAACTTCACTCCCAGGAAATCTGACACACTCTTCTGGCTTCTGTGGGTACTACATTCATATGCATAAGTTCACACATAGACATACATGTATACATACAGTTATAAATATTTCTTGAGATACGGTGTGTAGCTCTGGCTAGACTGGAACTCACTACATAGACCAGGTTGCCTGGAACTCAGAGATACCTGCCTGCTTCTGCCTGTGGAGTCCTGGGATTTTTGACTATCCTGGTGATTTACCCTTCTTTTTCCCTTAGGGAAAAATTAGCCATTGGATGCCGCCAACTGATTGAGATGGAGTATACCATGCAGCAGTGTAATGCATCTGTCTATATGGAGGCCAAAAACAGAGGATGGTGTGAAGACATGTTCAACAACAGGACCTAAGTTCTTGAGGAATGATATCTATCATCATGAGTAACACAGTAACTTTCAAAATGGTTGCTTTTTTTAAACCAAACCTAGGATAATTACAAAAAATCTTTCAGAGATACAAAAAAAAGGTTTTATTGACCATCTCATTGAATCCGCTGTAGGATAAACTAGTCCCAGCTCTTCTGGAGTTGACAATACTTCCTACCTCTAAAGACAAGAGAGCCATCTTCTTAGTGTTCCTGAGGCAGGAATCACTGTGACATGATGGCAGCCCACAGCCTCATTATCTCTCCTAACTCTGACTGAATGTGGGCATATGAGCAGACACTGCCAAGCCCTAAGACTTAAGACATGACCATGCTACCACATTCCATGAATGGGCTGCTTTCGTGAACAAACTGTCATTTATTTAAAACTGGTGGGGAAACCCACCACCTCCTTTCAGGGATATGAAGTAGAATTTTGATCTAGCACCTTCTCTGTAGCTGCTTTTGGGGCTTGTGTCATTTTTCTTTGCATTTCCAGTGGGGAAGAGCCCCTCTGAGGTTTCCCCTTAAACAAGAAGCAGTATGGATTTGGGGGATTAGATGGCAGGGGCTGCTGTTTGCCCCTACCTAAAACTCAAGTGTTTAAATTGACTTAGTTACACATTAAGTTGGAAATCCTTGTTTACTGGAGTGTATTATGCTTTTGTTAATATATTAGATTAAATTAGATTTGATATTCTATAATAAATGTTTATTTTTAAATAGCAATAAATAACTTATTTTTAGTAATATTTTGTTTTTCACCTTACTTTCAAATACTTTCTGAAATGAGTATATGGTGTGATTATAAAAGTTTGAGTCTTTCCAGTAAAAAGACTTGACTCTGGATATGCAGTAGTAGTTGGTACAGGATCTACTCAGCTATATGTTTGCAAGGCTAGAAAACCCACATGTTAAAGGTGAGTGTTTCAGCAGAACCATGAGCCTCTAGAGGGCTAGAAGCTTCAGCATGCAAGGAGGTTTTCCTTCTTAGTTTTTAAGACTAGTGTATTGATACATAGCCCTGGCTGGCCAGAAAAGTCAGTTTGACCTTGAATGTGTGGCAGTTTTCCTGCTTTGGTCTCCACAAGGCTAGCATAGGCATGTACACTACCATGTTGACTTCAGTAAACGTGCTAGCCATGAAAGCATGAGGACCTGAATGCAGATTCCCAGCTTCCACATAAAAAGCCAGGCACAGCAGCATCTGCCTATAATCCTCATGCTATGAAAGCAGAGACAGGCAGATCCCTAGAGCTCACAGGCCAGACACTTATCTCAAAAGTAAGGTGGAGAGTGATTGAGTCACTTCCTAAGAAAGGTTCCTCAGTGAACCTTAATCTCCCTGACTCAGCTGGACTGTCCAGCAAGCCTCAGGGATTCCCCTGTCTGCTTCCCCTGCACTAACATTACAAGTATGCACCATTACTGGCTTTCTCATCTTGGTGCTGAGTATCACACTTTTTTTTTTTTTTTTTAATGTGGTACAAGTAATGTTGAATCCCTTAGGAAAGGCAACATTTGAGGGTGCTTTTGACTCCAGTAGAATGTCTTTATGGGGCACATTCCAAGATCTAATAGGCAATGAATTGAGTTTATAAAGTGGCTTGTTACCCAGTGCATACCACATAGTTTTCACATCTAAGTAGTCAGTTTGTCAGCACTGACTACTATATGACTACAGCTGGTCATACTGAATTAAACACAGGATAGTGTGGTTCTCTCGGGAATGGATCCTAAGAGCAATGAAAATACAGGGTGGCTGGCTTGTCCAGTCTCTGGATTGCAAGCGCTGTGAGTGGCACTTTGTAGTGTACAAATTTGTCTGAATACTCGGTAGAGAAGGACATTCATCCCAGCCTGTCATGATGATTCCAGGCTGAAAAGCACTCCACCAGACAGGTGGGCCAGGAAGTCGTCAAGTCGGAGGATTCAAACACTGACCTGGGCTCTGAGAATTGACCAAGACACTAGATAAACATGGAGTGACTGGCAAAACTGCTCCATTAAAATGACATTCAAAATGTTGAGAAAGTAGCACTCAGGTCTGTCTTGTGATGGTCTTCTCTGAGACAAGCAAAGACCTACAATGTCAAAGTGAAACAACTATCTATGAAGTTCTAATCTGCAGTCACAATTGTCCAAGTCCTGTGCAAGTCCAGGGTTACAGACTTCAATTCTTTAGTCAGTTTTCCTTGACCCCAGAAACAGCGCTGGCTACCAAACCAGAATATCCTCTCCTAGAAAGGAAGTAGAAATTTCAGGTTTTGTAAAATTAGGTTGGAAAAATGCCTAAAATGGAACCAAATGCCTAAAATGGAATTTTCAAAAATACATTTTGTATATATAATAACTATTTTGCCTGCATATATGTGTGTATGACAGGTATGTGTCTGGTGCACACAGAAGTCAGAAGAGGGCAGTGTGTATACCCTGGAACTGTACTTAAAGACAGTTGTGAGCCAATATGTGGGTACTGGGAATCAAACCTGGCCTCTTTGTAAAAGCTGTAGGTGCTCTTAATCTCTGAGCCATCTCTCCAGTATAGAATTTTATTTATTTGAGGCAGGGTTAGGTATTCGGTAAAGGCTGGTTATGCTCACATATAATACCCAAGGTGAGAAAGCCAGTAATGGTGCAAACCTGGAATCCCAGTACTGGAGAAGCAGACAGGAGATTCCCTGAGGTTTGCTGGTCAGTCCAGCTGAGTCAGTGAGCTTAAAGTTCACTGAGGGAACCTTGCCTCAGGAAGTGGGAGGAATGTAGTCCATGTTGACCCCTGTTCTGCGCGCGCGCGCGCACACACACACACATCCATGGAGGTCAGGCATGGTGGCTCACACCTATAGTCCAGATATTCAGAAGGAAAGGGTAAGAAGATTACCACAAGTTTGAGACCAGCCTGGTATACATAGTTTTGTCCAGAGGCTAGCCATAGCTATAAAGCAAGACTGATGGCTTACAACCATCTATAACTTCAGTTCCAGGGAACTGAACCTCACTTTTGGCTTCTGGCTGGCATGCACCTGGTACACAGGTATACGTGCAGACCATACATCCCCATGCATAATTGAAAAACAAAAAAGTCCATGAAGCTGTGTGGCACAACTAATCCCAGCACTCAGGAGGCTGAGGCAGGATTGCTATTAGTTTAAGGCTAGCTTGGGCTACATGAAAGTCACTCAGATCTCAACTACTCCTTCCTTACTCCCTCCACCTGGCTGGGATTACAGTAGGCTTGTGGCACCACACTGGGTTTTGTAGCGTGCTAAGGATGGAGTGCAGGTCGTCCTGCAAGCTAAGCAAGCATTCTACCAACTTAACTGCACCTTAGCCCCACAATTCAGTTTTAACATCATTTTTTGAGTTTTAATCTCTTTTCAACCTCTACAACTCTACTGTAAACTAATGGTTACAAGCTAAACTATCAACTCAATACAGATGCCTCCAAGGTAAGAATAACTAGTTCCCTAATGAGGTAAAATATAAACTTGTCCTACCTTTCTTCTGAGCCTACTTGAACCACTTTATGGGTTAAGCTAGGGGAAAAAAAAATCCCCTTGTAGAATTCTGTGAGCTTTATTGAATGCATAATCACGTAATCACCAGTTCATTCAAGTCAGAAGTCACATCACCCCTACAAATTCTTGTGACCTTTTGTGGTTAACGCCCATCCCTATCTTTGGGTTTATGCCAGATGTTTGCTATTTCTTCTGTTTCCCCTTTTCTAGAATGCTATAGAATTGGAGCTTTTGTGTTATGCTTTCTACTTATGTATGCAGGTACTTGCCCATGAGGAAGCTCGTTTTATAAGGGGATATTTTCCTCATTTGTTTCTCCACCTTATTTAAAATATGAAAATTGTTTGACCTATAGCTACCTGGGAGATGGCCAGGATATCACATCTGGGATATTCCAATAGGTGAGGGGCTTTTAGAACACCTATGGTCAGGCCCTGCTGTGTCTAAACAGAATAAGCTGTGCCAATAGAGATTAATACGTCGTCTACTTTTGAGTGTTCCCTCAAAGTAAAAAGCCTAAATGACATCACAGCAAAGGAAAAGTTTCCCTGACTGCCAACCTCATGAATTTACTTGCTGAAAATTGTCGCCTAAGCAAGTCATTTTAGCTTTTTCCACCATCGTGAGTGCCCATCATGGAGAAGTACCTTGTACAATGACCACTGCATCTAGTTGAAGACCACCCTCAAGAACTTTCCCAAGTCAAAGCCAAGCATTGAAACTGGAGTTAAGACTGTCCTGCCAAAGATGGGCTTAATAATTGTATTGGGGGAAAATTATGTTGGTATGTCTACAAAAGCCAAGGTTCAGAAGCTCAGCCAGTCTGTGGTAGATGCTCTCAAAGGTTCAGTCTTCTGCCATCTGTGTAAGTTCTCACACTGAGCAACAGTCAAATGCTTCCTGAATAGACAGCATTAAGTTTATTGTCCTATCCTTAGTGTCCCCCTAGTTTCAAGATTAAAGTGCCCCTTTGGCTGGAGGAGACCCATCACAAATTTGCATGTCATTGTGTAGGACCATGCTAATCTCTGTATAGCTCAAATTTTAGTATGTGTTGTCAAAGCAGGGGCTGATTTTTACTTCTCAATGCTTGTAATCTCTTTATTTTGCAGTATTCTAGTGTACACCATTAGCCAGTTGGTAGGCTACTGTGGCTTTCTGTTTGGGGAGCTCCAATCCCACACAGGTTTGAGTGAACGAATCTGATTTTACTTTTATAACTAACCACCAATGTAATTGCTTTGTCCCAGGTTTTACTAAACTGCACTTTTCAAAGTGCCTACCTACATGATCTTGCAGTTCCTCCTGCATCTAGGAACTCTACTTTCTGTATGTTCCAACTTTGGTTATTTTAATACATCTGTATCATTGTCAGTAAGGTGGAGAGTTATTAGCAATGGAGTTCAGGGTCACAGGTAGAATATTTGTCTGCCCTGTGGGAAGCCACTAACAATCTCAAGTACTGGCAAAAAGTTTGGGTTTTGTTTGTTTTCCTTAGATAGTCTGTATGGCCCTGGATGGCCAGGAACTATGTACGTAATAGGCTGCTTCTGCCTCTCCAGCGCTGGGACTACAGGTGCATGCCTCTGTAACATCACTATTTCATTGGCCATTGTGCAAATACTTGTCACTGAATCACTTTAACTTCTGATAAAATTGATTGGTGGCAGTTGTTCCTTTGTACCCCACCCACTGGACTTTGTAATGGTGGATTTGTTGTTTGGCCTCCCTGAAAACCTGACATTCCTTCTGATTTTCCCTTTTATGACTCACTTCACTCTATCCCTTGTTCCCCTTCTTGTTAATGTATGTTAAAACCCACCCAGATCCTTCAAATCCTTTGTTGAAGAGAAACAAAAAAAAAAAGGAATACTAGAGACTTTGCTGTGATTCAGGCACCCGAGACGACCCTGCAACTACAGGATTGCTCTACCTGGACCCTTTATCCTCTTCCTCCTTATGGAGATGTTAAAGGTTAGATCAAAACACTGGCTTGTTAATAAGGATTCTTGCATTCTGTTGCATCCTTCCCTAAGAGAACTGTAAAACACCGAGCAATGGCAAGCTACTCTACACATCAGGACACATTAGAAGTCAGAATAAACAAAAACTCAGCTGGGTGTGGGGACTGCATGCCCTTAATCCAAGCATTTGGGAGGGGTAAGCAGGAGTATGTATAGAGGCCAGCATGCATGGTCTACATAGCAAGTTCCAGGCCAGGTAGTGCTA